GGAATTTAATCAGAATGGGGATGTGCTTGGCCAGGGGCATGCATTCCCGAGGAACTTGCCTGCAGGTTTACGCCAGATTCAGCTTGTTGCTTTTTCATGCATGACACACTGCTTCGAGTGCTTCGCGTTAGCTAGATCGGTATGCCGTTGCGAATCAAAGACACCACGTTTTCTGCATTTTGCTTTTGCTGCCTACGATGCTGACATCTTGTCGCGGACGACCTTAGCCGCGATATGCCTTCACCTATCCTTGACTCTCTACAAGATGGCTTACTATGCAAGACATGTATCACACCGATCATCTTCGTCCGCGGAGACTTTTGCTGTCCGTAGGGCTGAGGCGATATCCGCACCCCGCGTTTGTGCTACGTGTTTGGAGCAAGGGACTTGGGGTTGCTGGGGATGTATGTTGAAGTCCGATGGTAAGCGTAAGTATAGTGAGTGCGGGAGACTTTGTCGGATATGTAAGGGATAGAGACGGATGAATGCTTCGAAGAGGTGATTGGTAGAGTGAGGAACGTATCAGATTCATGAAATAGCGAATTACTCAGGTGGCCTATGAAGTGACAAGGACGAGGAACTTATGCATCAACGAGGTGTGTGCTTTTCAGGATAAGTACAAGATCAGTGGCTATAAATCAGGCAGCAATCTAGACACTTGGCGACATATATTTATTGGTTCCTGTGACTCACTGCTGTGTAAAATCATCAGTCTTGGCCTGGAAGCCTCGGTCGTGCGGAGCTGTCTATGGGCAAGGATGGATCACCGTAAAAGAATCGTAAACAGCTCCCGATGTCGGCCGTTACACACTGACTGCTCACTCAGGCAAGAAGACGTGCACAAGCGTTATATTTATTACACAACTTATCGGAGATTTAGTGATTCATACCAAAGTACCTAGCATGCATCTCTGTCGATCAGCATACATCTAATGCAAACACAACAAAGCCCTCGACCTCGAAGCCTTGATTGTGTCTACGAGGCTTAGTCTCAATCAAGCTGATGATGTTTGAGGCACGAGGCACATTGACCGATACTGTTCCCAACGCAAAGTTCGAAGACTTCCACCCACTCATTGTCGAAAGCTTTGGATACTTAGCTTGATAAGGGAACGAGACCTTCGCCCCGTGATCTTTCGGCTGACAGTAATGGATCAATTTCTAATAACATTGGATACGGTTCGTGTGTGTATAACTTACGAAAGGCCAGTGCATGCTTGCAGTTGGACAATCAGCGTGTAACGTGCCAGTTCAACCACATCATGATGCTTGTCATCAGGTATAACGATCAAACAAGTGATCCAAGTAGCAATCAACGCAGCGATTACTTGGGAGGCTCCAATGTCGCTCGTAGGAGGTATCATCTTCCTAGACTGTGCAATATGACTTCCCAGCTTTCCTCAACAGACTATCCGTCCTCGGTCGTCCGCCTGCGCGACGAAATCATAGAAGCGACCATTTTCTGCGATTTCTCCGGCTCCGAGGCTGGCCATGTTTCGGGCAAGACTATCAGAAGCGTTGCTACTGAGCACAACATCCTTCAGGCTCTCAATCACGAGGGATCTCTTGCCGGCCTCGCCGATGAAGTGAAGAGACTTGCTGCAAAAAGATTGTCAATCTCGTCGCCCAAGCTCTTCCTTATATGCCTTGTCTTGAGTATCGATTTATCGTTCATTTGGAAGCGGAGGGGTCACGAGATTGATTCAAGATTCACGGATGACAATCTTCCATTCAGCTCCAAGACAGACATTGAGCTCCACGAAAGATCTTTCTTCAAGAGCCTTATTCTCCCATATCAGCCAAGCGTACTCTGTCCAGCCTTCGTAAACGGCGACTTCGATCTGATAGTCAATAATGCAGCCTCCATTCCTATCAAGAGGCACGGCACACACTTCCCGAGAGGTGAGAATGGCAAAGTCTACGAGGTTTCTGTCCATAAAGACTATCTGTCTCTGCTAGACGCTGCAGGTAATATTGATGCTGACGACGAGGGTTGGAGCCGCAAACTCGCTATGAAGGAAATATCTGACGACGATGCTGCCACTCGCGAGATCAAACTCGTCAAGGCCCTTAATGCTGCGAGTATGAAGCCCGCGCACTTATTGACTAGCCATACAGGGTTCACAATGAAGAGCACCATGTACCTCATTTCTGAACTAGGAGATCGTGACCTCAACGAAATGTTCAGCAAAACCGACCCTCCGGAGAAAAACGACGCTGCGCGTAAGTGGTATCAAGATCAGTTCTTAGGTCTTGCGGAAGCGGTCAAGCACATTCACGACATCAACCCCAGTATGGCTGGGTACATCCACGATATCAAGCCAGCCAACGTTGTCGCCTTCGGGAAAGATCGCCCTACTCTGAAGCTTATCGACTGGGGCTGCGCCAACGTCAACCCGTACATTGCTGGCAAGTCTAGCAACAAGACTGGAAAGCACGGCGACACGTGTTACATGCCGCCCGAGGCTACCGAGAAAGACATCAGAAGAGACGGTTCAGTTGAGAAAGATGACAAAGGAGACGGTTCGACCAAAGACGATGGAACAAAAGGTGACCCAGTCAAGGAAGATGACGGAAAACACGATTCAGTCGAAGAAGATGGCGGATGAGACGATTCAGCCGGAGAAAACGCTGGAAAAAAAAAGATTCAAGCAATGAGGAAGACGAAGAACATGGCGACTCAAAGAATGAGGACGACGAACGAAGCTCATCAGAGAGTGAGCAGGAACCAAAAGTCTATTCGCGGCCATACGACATATGGTCCATGGCGTGTCTGTACACAGACTTCATGGCCTGGTTCACGGAAGGCAAGGACCAACACAATGCTTTCGTTCAGGAGAGAAAGAAGAAGGGTGGTGTAGATGACTTTCACTTCAACTACGAGATCAAGGACGTGGTAACCGAAAAGCTCGACTTTCTGAGCAAAGAGAAAGAGTGGGAAGGTATAGTGAAGCTTGTGCGGGAGATGATGATGATCTGGCCGAAGGACCGCTTGACTTCTGCGGAGGTCGTGGAAAGATTGAAGGCGTGGATCCAGCAGCTGACAAAGTGACGACGGGGAAGAGGCGGTGACTTCGCAACGTGGGCGGCGTTTTGTTTATTTTCCTTTCGTTTTCGTTTGTTCACTACTTCGCGATTGATTACGTCAATGTTTCCTATATTTCCAATAAATCGAGTACTTTTCGAACGGAAAAATCGCATTCGTGCTTGTGATATGTGCACTACTAATAAGAGAGCGAGTTGCCAGGAGCGCGACTGGATGGGTAGTTTTGGCTCACATGGGTGCTGCTGTATCAGCAGTACGCACAGAGAGGTTCGTGAAAAGACGCGGAGCCGATTGCTAAGACATGCAAGGACACGATGTAATCTTAGGGTGAAGTGCACAGTCTCGCGTGCGACCTCTTCTACATGCACTCGGGTTCTTACCTTGCTCAACATAGCTTGAGAGATCACAAAAGAAGAAGGACCAACATACTAGTGTATGTTATGCAAAAGTCAAATGCCCTTCCCCCATCGGTTGTGACATTGATGAAAAGTTATAACTGTCCGCATACGAGCCTCTAGCTAAAGTCGTGCTATCGCTACTTCAGGACGAGCGAGTGGCGCACATTGCGTAAAAGTCCAGCATGAACTTCACCACCCGGGCTTATGTATCACGCAGTTCGGAACTGCAATTTCGACAGAATGAGATGAGAGTACGCAAACGTATGTTTCAGGTATGCCATAAAATTCGTGAATTGCTCGGGGATATTGAACGCCAAACGCCTTTTCATGCCAGGGTAATGTTGGCAACGCCACACCCTTTTCTTAGTTGCCCAACCAGTCCAGGAACTCGGGAGTGAAGTAGCTGACTACTATCGAAGCACCGGCGCGCAGTATGCCTTGCGTAGCCTCCTCAGCCATCTGCCTCAAGTCGAAGACGCCTGCGGCTGCGGCTGCGTGGATCATGGCGTACTCTCCAGACACCTGGTATGCGGCCACTGGCATGTCCTTTCCGAGCTCTTTCGCGTCGCTGATAATGTCCAAGTACTGACTTGCGGGCTTTACCATGATGATGTCCGCGCCTTCGTTGATGTCTCGTACAATAGCTCGACGCGCAAGACCGCGACCTCCTGGAGGAAGTTGGTAGCATCTCCGGTCGCCGAAAGATGGGACCGAGCCAGCGGCGTCGCGGAATGGCCCATATAGACAACCAGAGAACTTGGCGGAGTATGACATGAGGAGAATTTGGTGTGCGATACCGGCTTCGATAAGCTTGAGCTTGATGGCGCGAATGCGGCCGTCGTTCATGTCTGAGGGCGCGACGCAGTGAGCTCCTGCCATGGCATACGACATGGCTACATCGCTGACACGCTCTACGGAAAGAGCATTGTTCAAGCTGCCGTCATCCCGTAGGATACCACAATGGCCGTGTGAGGTGTATTCGCAAAGGCAGACATCGGCTACAATGAAGAGATCGGGGAACGACCTTCGGAGCAGGCGGATCGCCCTGATCACAGGGCCCTTCGGGTCATCTGCATTTGTGCCCAGCGCATCTTTTGCACCTGGCGCAATTGGTACACCAAACAGTATGACAGACTTTAGTCCTTTGGCAACGAGTGGGGTAAGGTACGGGACGATCTTGTTCAGGCCACGGCGGTGTTGGTTCGGAAGGGAAGGAATGAGCGTCTCCTCGTCTGGCTGGTCGGAGATGAAGAGAGGGTATATGAGCATGGACTATTGCATGTTAGCGCAAGTTACAGAACGCAGTCCCTCTGTCTGTACACACCTTTGTGAGCTGCTTCTCTGCCTGCCATGCTCGCGAGAGCGGGTGGCTGTAGCCTCCATGCAATTGACTTTTGATGTCGCCTGCAATGCTCACGCTAGTCGCAGCAGTGCTGGCGTATGATCGCGTCGAGCGCGCTTCCGAGACCTGCGTGCGATAGTCTGGTCGTTCTGGACGCTCCGAGCTGCGGTAGGCGATGTCTGAGACGAGCGAAGAGAACGACATGGCGACACGAGAAGTGGAGGGTGTGAGGAAAGCCGCAGAATGTGGGGTGGAAAGGCGAAGGTTGCGTCCAGCTCGCAGACTGAGCTCAATTCGCCTCCGGCGTTGGTCTTAGATTGTCTGGATATTTGTCGTGCAGGAAGGTGGCGGATGTGCCAGTGTCGATCAGCGGCTGAGAAATTGAAAGATGCGCCTCAAGCTTTGTACGCAAACGGACAATTCTTGAATCATGCAAACAAAGCAGAGAAGAATGGATTGGAAAGGATTAACATTCGCTCTCTTAAAATGCTCATGACGTTTCACCCCGATGTTCTCAACTCTACTCCGACTTGGCCGAGGCTTCTCCGCAGCCAACCAGAAGTCTTGAGATTACCAGAGGGGTGCGGCTGACTAAGGCTAGACTTTGCGTCTTACCTAAGCCCTGTCCTCGACAGAATCCAACACGGGCAATCTTCTCATCGGCTATCATAGAATGCTGGAGTACGGTCTCAATGATCACACATCGTTACTCGTCAATCTCGTCGCTTCTGCGGGAGCATGCTCGAATTCTGATATCAGCTTCGCTTCACGTTTCGAATCGTTTGGCTTGCTAATGTACACAGTAGAATACACCTTTCACTAAAAATGCAATACGCGTTCCCGAACCTCTTCATTCGGGAGTGCCCGGCATAACGAAGCCAAATTAAACGGCCAGACTTGCCTCACTCGGAGAGTCTCGAGTCAGCAACCGTGCTGATATGGTTTGCCGCCAGTCAGGACCTGTCGACATAGCTGCACACAGATTGCCTGGATCCCCCGGAACTTCGAAGATCGGACATTGATCTGGAGCAGGTTGAGGCGGATTCAGGGCGGTGAGTGTCAGCAACGCAGCTCGTGAGGCTGCTGGGCCCGGAAGCACGGAAGCATAGTCACTGGCAGACTATCCCACGCTAGCCGATAAGCACGTTGGAGATCGCTTCGACTTGACCCGCGAGGGAGCTGTCTCTTGATCGAACACGAGATCATCGAAGGGACCCTAGCTGGTTGCATGCTCCAAGTGTTCTTGCATGGGTAGCTAAAGCTCACGATCTATATCGAAATCATTCTCGAGTACGGACATGGAGAACCCTTGAGCAGCCTCACGTGGTCTTATCGTTGACAAGTCATCTGACACCTACACAAACTGTACCACAACGCCAGCCATCAAGGTCTCGACCTAGTTCCAAAGACTCCCTGTTTTTCGCTGCGAGATACTGGACGAAAACGCCGCCTCGGCATCGATACAACCTCACAGCCACCCTAAGCGGCTAGTCTGGACCCTGCATTAGGACCATCCCTGCATATCCAGGGTCCATTGTCCTGACCGTCCGGTCCTCGGAAGGGTGGAGAGGAGACTCTGGAGCTTGCTACTCGTGCAAGAGAAGGAGATTTGAGTCCTAACCAGCAAGTGAACTCGCACTAACACTGAGCTGCAAGACCACGTCGTAACTTGCTGCAGCCAGACCAGCGACAATACAATACGATTTGCATGGTACCAACTCTGATCGTTCGAGCATTCGGAAGCAGCCACGTTCTTCGACGTGGTTCCTAGCGTTTGACCAGCATACCCATTCCAGAAATAGACCGTATGATTGGATCGGCTAGCCTATCATGTCTCAGCTAGACTTATCAGTCAGTGCAACTAATCCGGGGAAATGATATGGAGCATTCGGCGCGACTCCATCTTCATGGCCCGAGCTCTTCGAGGTCAGAGTCAGACAAAGCCGTACATAAAGGTAGCTAATCGTCCACTTCCTGTTCAACTAGTACGACTTCATACATGTCTTTATATTGGTTGCCCGCTCAGAATAAGTGATCAAGACTCTCCACAATCTGATCGAGTTTCCACGAGTATCAATTAGACTTGAGCAACATAACCTCCAGCTATATCGCTTGCCTCCAAATTTGTTCTCTTGATTCGTGACAATTTTCTCTTGGGGCATCTGGGTGTCTAGGTAAGCTTCCTCATCGGTACCGCCCTAGCAATTCTACCAATCTCAAGATGAAGTTTTGTCAAACCTGCTACAACACTGGGATTGAGATCTAGAACTTTCTAAATCTCAAGTACATCTTCCATGAGAGCGATCAGCTAACACATACATCGAAGCGAACCCTTACTCGATACATACAATACACGCGACCATTCTCACAACTTCCACCCATCATGTGCTCCTACACGTATTCATGGTACTATTGTAACCATGATTACTACATGTAAGCTTGAAGCTCTCCCAGATCAGTCATGTCCAAAGCTGACACTCAACTAGTTGGGCCGACAGCCTCGAAGTCTGCGCGAACCGCCTTCTCTCAGGCTATTCCTTCGACGCCTGGTCAATCGACCTGTGCAAGAACATGAAAGTGCAATGCGGCGGGTTTTCAAACTACTACTGCACAGATTGCTCCGAAGACGTGACGCTGGAATTTGAGCTCGACGAACTGTAGATTGGTAAGCTTCACGTTTCTCGACTTGCGAATGCGAGAGTGTTTGGGCAAGATGCGTGGAGCTGACTTTGCTTGTGCAGTGCAGTGCAGTACTCGAGCGAATCGGCGTGGATTCCACTTCCGAGATGCTTCACCGCCCGGAGATTATCATTCACCGCCTTTCCCCACAAAGTTTACACGGCATGCGACGCGCATGCTGTCTGCTTCCACGCGATCACGAACACGTTTCTTTCTGTACTTGGTTCTTGGATACATACTGCGCTATACCATTTCGTTATAGTGGTGCGAATATCATTGGCGCAACATGGGCGTTGTCAACCTGGCTTGGTCGATAAAAGAGATTGCATTTCCGACAGATAAGAGGGAGACGGGCATTCGTAGGCCGACATTTCGAAGCATTCTGAACCTTGGACATGCAGTATTTCCATTGAAAGCTCAGACATACAATGCAACCAAACAAGCACACTCTCACTCCACGTGAGTCGCTGGCTCAACAATTTCCTAGGCGCACTGTTCTCGCCGAGTAGACTGCCAATGCAATCAGCAAGGGCACCAGGCGCCGGCAAGATTCCTGCCCCCGTTTTCTAAACGAGAAGAGGTGAAGAGGTAGCTTATATATATTCAAAGATCTCTACAGAATTAGGTAGAGGATCTTACAGTTGCATGCACATCCAGGCTCCTCTAGAAACTTGTAATAAGTCTACCTTTAACGACAACCAGCTCATGTTGTAGGTGCAGGGCGGGCCCGAATTTTGCCGTTGCCTGGTGAGGGCTTCAAAGTCATGAAGACGAGTGTATTTGTGGGCAGCATCAAGCGACACATCTATGTTAAATTATTACAGTATCTAGACGTGTTTTGACAAACACTCGCAGTTCATGTTGAGGTAATCAAAGGAGCCAGTTTCGCTCGCAAAATGATTCATCTCCTTCTGTCGGCGATGCAACTCGGTGGAGGTGTAGTATAGTGTTTTCTTGGCACCAAACTGTATCAACGATGCGACTCGTACAGTGGTGGTTCCAGACTGATAAAGTACGAACATGGTGGTCCAATTTTACGGAGAAAAAACAGGGAATATGGAGCATGAAGTCGTCGCTACCATCTTGCGCTTTTGCTATGTAGGCCAATATGTTAGGAAGGGTTTGGAGGAGAACGACAAGGTTGCTCTCCTTTGGTGGTACATCGTCCTCGTCCTCATAATTGTCGCTGCTGTCGCGCACATTAGTGCGTCGTCGTTTTGTCTTGTCGTCTACCGTATCCTCGTCATCGGTATCTACAATGATGGGACATACTCGTTTGCTTGTCGAAGATGGGCCAGCCGCTGCAGGAGTAGGCAGCTTTGCAGAAGGTGTAGAGGCTCGTCGAGTAAATTGTGGCCGATTGGGCACCTTAGCTAAATGAGCCACGCTTCGTGAAGCATTTTCTGCTCGTTAAGCACACCGTGCGTTTCTTTGTGTATCCAGCTTTGAATCTATAACTGCGCCATACTATTCCGTTATGGCGATGTAAGTATTATTAGCGCAATGCAAGGGCTATCAATCTGGCTATCAGGCTGCCTGTTGTTAGAAGGGATCGGGCTGTGCTGGCGTTCTGGATTTGAAATTGCCTTTGGTATTTGCATAAGCGTGTCATCAATAGGCTGCGCATACCCGTAGATCACACAAGTAGTGTATTTCAACGTATGAACAGAGACTAAATACTTACAGGGTATCGCTTATTCTGTAAGACTTTCCTCCGCTGTCTTCGCGCTCACGCCATGTCCTTCGTCCAACGTTCGCTTGACCTGCTCTGCTCGTCGTCGCGCATCAATATACATCATGAACTCCTGGTAAGTCCGTGGCATGACTCGGATATTCTTTGGCACTGTGAACGTGTAGTTGAATTGACCTGTCGGTTTCGAGTGCCCATGCTCCACATCCCGGACCTTCGAGTCGACGCGTATCTGAACCCTTGTGTATTCGCTATTTTCGTCCGTGTTCTCGCCAGGCGCGTTGATCAGCGGCGGATCTGTGTAGACCACAGTTGCCGTGAGATAGAGAATGCTGCCCACGGGAACAGGATTCTGGAAGGTAGATGGGTCGAGCGAGACGAAGGTGGGTCGGGCGTGTGCGAACGCAGCGGCGGTTGTAAATGCGAGTTCGAAGGTTTGTTTGAGGAGGAAGCCTCCGAAGATCATGAAGTGATGTCGATTGCGATATTGGGGCTGCATGATTGTCGCAGTCTGGAGGCGCGTCGCGTCCATGAAGACGACATTATCGGGTTGGCGGAGGTTATCGTATGGGTCTATCTTCTTAGTGAGTTTCCTAAATTCAGATGAAGGAACACACCGTGATATTGCAGCTGCTTCTGCCAGAAAGCGTGTATGAGGTCGCTTTCAAGATCATTTGGTGTATGCTTGAGAAGAGAAGTGTCGCGACGCTCCTTGCGAACTTTGGAATTGCGTTCGCCCAGCGCGTACAAGCGCTTCTCCTCTGGTGTTTCGATAATCAGTGGGTTGACGTTCACCGGCCTATGAATACCATCAGCTTCATCGAAAGCCTCATTTTCAGGGCATGGCCTACTTCTTCGTGCCAGGGTCGAGCGAGACCATCGTAAAAGTGCAATTGATCAAGACGTCCTCATCTTTGACTTCTTTTCCCTTTTCAGGCGCCTTCGCAACCTGCATGGTGATCTCCAAGCTACTCCTACCGGTGGCGTAAGTGACACGCCCAGATAATTGCAGGTCGCATATCTCTGTCAGTGGGGAGTGTATAGTGATGCGATCACAGCTCGCTGTCACGGTCGTCACATCGTCCCCGGTGTGTTTGTCTATTGTTGTACTTAGACCTTGTGAATGAAATCGCCCAGCTGTTTAGGCTTACACGCAATGATTCCCGATAACGCGTCGAGATCCATAAATATGGTGCCCCTAAATCAAGTACAGTTAGCAATCTAACTAAGTAGCTATATACTATCAGAGTTATCATTACAATCTTAAATTTCCAGCTGAATTTAAGTAGGTATCCAGCAACCAGGCGTCCTGGGCTAAGGGCAGTACGACAGAATGGTAGCTGTCATTCATGTGCTTCGGCTGCAATTTGCGTTGGTGAGACACTTCGGGTTTGCCGGACGACTCAGCAGGGCTCTTTCCTTCTGCCTGTTGATGACGAAGCGCCTCGATCCAAGGCGTGCGAACGCGCATAGACGTGAGCTCTTTGAAGACTCCATCTGTACTTTGAGCTGAGCTGCCATGGAACTCGCGATTCGATCTAGTGGGGATCAATGATGACCGTGCATATGATGAACGGCATTGTGCAGGTGATCGAAGTCGCCGAAGCGCTGTCCGTATTGTTGGTCTCATGGTGGGGTGCTGGAGAGATTCCACAAGCAGCTCGGTGCACGTATGAAGTGTCGTTGACCTCGGGAAGAGTTCCTGCTGAAGCGAGGCTTGGCACCCGGCTGTCGTCGCTTCTGTACGAAATAGTGTTGAACACACCTCACTCCCCACAACAATCTCGATGCCAACATCATGGGGCACCTTTACGCCAAAGCCTACTACATGTGATCATGGCTAGGACTTTTGAAGTCGGGCGCGCAGTGCTCGCTTCCACAACTCATAATCTCGAGCTTTGGCTCAGCACATTAATCACTCTCTCACCATCGCAGGACTCGATTGACGTTGAACAGCCTTCGTTTCATTCTTTGACACGTATCTTATCGTCTAGCGATATCTGGGTCGGTCGCGGTAATGGCATGCGCATTGAACTGGCATTGACCCATCGAGGGGAGCCTTTGCCAAAACTCAACCTCCAGATGTTAAGAGAAATGATCATACAAGCTCCCGTACGGCTGCTATTCATCGCAGCCACCAACCATTCAGGGTTCTAATGGGTTTTCAGATTTGGCCTCAGCTCAAGTTGAAGCCCACCGTTCCTTGCGACGATATGCTGCAGGATGGTATCGCACATGTTGCCATCAGCTATGCCGACGATGACAGCTCAACAAATGAACGTCAACGTCACCGCATACTCAACAAAGTTCCTGCTGCTGCCGTACGCCCCCCGGAAGGTGTGTCGAGTTTACAACTGCAGGTAGTGCGATTCACCATGGACCTTCTCGAATCGAGGCAGCGTCCCCAAATGAAGCGAGCAAACACTATGTTAGAAGAAACCAGCACACAAATTCAGAGTTGTGATGACAACAAGAATGAAGATGCTGATACCCTGTTGCATGAGACGATCGAAAGCCCCGGCCCTGCTATGAAAGGAACCACTCGCAAGCGCAAAAGGCCCGGAAGACAGGCTCCCTCACGAACATGTTCAACACCGGTGTCATTATTCGATAATGAGGCCAAATCAAACAAACGTGCTGCAACCATTACAAATCCACGTGTCCCTGACCAAGACGTTATCACAGAGCAGTTGATGGAGATTCGGTCGATGGTTGAAGGGGCCATGCGACTCTCCATCTACGGAAACAGCAAACTCCCTGCCGGCATCAAGGTCAAAGCAAACACGTTTGGCATAGGACTCGCTGATGTTGCTCCAATCCTGTGGAGACCGGGACATCTTGCTGTGCGATATGCAACAGAAGCAAATAGCTCCAAACTAACACATTGCAGGCATTATCACAGAGGGCTCATCTTGCACCCACCGTCTGCCGATCTCTTGGTCATGCAATCGGAGTAAAGGCGACCTCTACTTCTCTGAGTGAGAAGTTCAAGGAGTTGATTGGCACTCGTTCTAGAAACTCACTCCACAGTCGACTCGGCCAGGGTACAGCGGTCGATGGACAGTTGCAGAGTATGGCGTCATCGCTTTCTGATCAACTCTGGTTGCACTTGCAGAGGAGCCTCTTGGCAAGACCCGCGCCATCACTGCAGCCATTCACGACCTGTGATGCGGATGCTGCAGATGCTCATGTGTCGGATGAGATCCTAGTCCCGGTAGATCTCCTTTGCGAGGCGGGTGCCGCACCTTCCACCATCGAAGAACGTGAGCTCAGCAGCACTATCAGTGACGACACTAAAGAGGAAGTCTGGCCACCAACACCCTCCGGTGTGCGACCAGGCCTCCTTCAAGGTTACGAAACAGCTGTTCAGCGTGAAGAATACCCCATTGCATTTGAGGACGACCTTCTCTTGGATGCAATGCCCGCGGACGCAGGATCAGACTATCGAGATGCAGATCGTCAAGTTGTGAACTTCGGCGCATCAGCGCCAACACGATCTCCAAATTATGCAACTCTTGAGAGGCAAATCACCGAAAGACTTCCGGCCATCCCCCACAAGCAAAGATAGAGGAACTCTCATACAGAGTACAGTTGCGGACGTTCAACCGATAGCTACCAATCGAGACAACTTGTTGGAACAAGAATAGTGAACTAGAGGTTGTGTACAAATCGACGATGGCGCGGCCATCTTCAGATGGCTTTCCGGACTCCATGGAAGGGCAAAGTGGAACTTGGAGCAAGCCAGCAGTTGGCCTTCGATGCGACCTGGAGCGGCTTAGTCCTCGGACAGTGGGCTGAAGATGGACGACCCTCGTTTCAGCAGCCGAAGACTAAGATTTGTCGTCATTAGACACCACTACCCAATCATTATTAGCATATGCCCCGCATCATTGGCATCGCCTACGAGGTGATCCCTTCCTCTTGCGCATTTGCATTGTCTATTGGTCAAAGTGAAGCATCCATTACAATTTTTGGACGCACCTGGGACAGTGTCTACATGGCAATAGTACGCTGAGCAGCCAGCTAACCAATTGTCTGGCCTCCTCCGTTAGCAATGCCGCAGATTGCGAATTCAGATGCCGAATGAAATCACAGAAACTATCGACGGAGCCATCCTCCGGCGACCTGTGGATTTACTGCGGTACCTAACGACACTAGATGATGCACGAGCACGTGGGACACCTGGCCACGACTCGGCGATTCTTGCGCTGTCGACGTTTTCGCGTCTTTTCAGCATGTTCCAGATCGGCCCAGCCGGAGAGAGCCACTATTTGATCTGGTAGCAATGTTGTAGGATGATTACGCCCGTAAAGCCAAGTGCCGGCGGTAGTTCACTCGTACTCTACTGAGCGGAGAATTTCACAGCTCCGCCAGATGTGTTGCATTGAGCTGGCCTCGAAGTCTGGACGCGACGACGATCGGTTTCATACGAAGCTCAGCCTAGACAATCGCCGAAGTTTGAGCAAAGGCGGGAGTTTGGGTCATCAGCCACGGCATCATTACACTGTACATCATTGCGCTTTCATATGTGAACACGGAACTGTCGGCAGGTGGAGTGTCGTTTCCGCTCCAGGGCATGGGGAGAAGTCGTTCGTGATTACTCACGTCCCGTTGGTCTGCGAGAATCATCAATCGTCGGAAGATCTTCTTCGTCTAAGCAGCACGGACCAGCAACAGCCCCTACCACGAAGACCTGGCTGCAAATCTTACAGCCAGCCATCCGGCCCCTCCCACACGCCCATGGCTCTGCTAGGTGTTCTGCGGTGTTCTATTGAATCCCGTTGTTAGCAAGATGTGTTGGGAGATATCACGGCAATTTCTGCAAGATGATTCCTAAGAGGCGCATCGTCCTCTCCTGGGGGTGCAGCAGGCCGCCCACTCATCTGCTTCACCTGATCCTTCGTGGCACTTGGCATGCATGGCCGACGACAACTCTCGTTGAAATTGACCAGTCGGATGATGTAGATCGTCGTCAAGGACGGCAGCTTGCGCAACAACATGGGTTGACGCTGCCAAATGCAAGCGTGGCTGCAGCCACCTGCATGGATTCCTCCAACGAAATATTCTTCGATATCTCGACAGTGGCATTTGACACTTACGTTGTGGAGTCGCTTTCGACCTGAAGTATCATACCTTGCTCTATGCACAGCAGGAGGAATTAATTGAGATACCAGATACCTCGACACAGAGAGTGTCATCACATCCACTGTTCTACTGTTGATTCACGTAGGCCGTGTGCGCCTCCGAAGATCCTGGCTGCAAATCAGGTTCGGCCGACTAGTTCTACTAGACTGTTTGATGGCAGATGGGCTACTAACTTGGCGTCTTGACAGATTTCGGACGACCCTAATGGCACGCAAGGTAGCCAAAGAGGTAATGACAGCGAAAAAAACATCTAAGGTTGCTGAATCTCAACAGCCACAAATGCGACCTTTTGCTGATGAACACTTCCCGGCCTCCCGGATGCAAGAGCGCATCGAGTGTGTGTGCTTGTTGTACAATGGCACCTCCACAGCCGAATACGGCGGGCTGGGTGATGAGCGCTGGTACTTCTCGGACACGAGTCTGTGCAGAACACGGCATGATCCAAGTGGCGCACTAGGCTAAAGCGGCGTCTAGCCGTAATTGAACGAGTATAGGCGTGTTTTCGGTTTCAGAGAACTGCGTAGTACACTATGTACGCCGGACCCGAGCTGTCAAACAAGCCACGCCGAACTGAGGCGCAAGGGGCAATTGTCTAGGTAGTCATGTTTTGCTGATGGAGTGAAGGAATAAAGCTTCCGGCCCTTGCATGGTGGCCAGGCCTTTGCGCCAAAACTCGACTCCTCGTATATGCTCAGTGGCTCAAAAAGCACGACTGACGCCTCTCGCATGCTTTGGAGGCATACTCAAAAAACTAACTTCGTGTGCGACGTCAACTTCCGCCCTTCCGACTGTCGTACTGCCACGAGTCCTCTTTCACAGTGCGCGAACCAGTTCCTCGGCTCATTTGTTGTTCATCGATCCTGGTTCCCCTCACTTCTGGAAATCTTTCACTTGCCTAATCTAAGAAAGAGCGCAGCAGATAGTACGCTGAATCCGATTGTGTCCCGGTCTTGGAGGTGGGGGCGTTACACAACTAAGCGCCAGCCATCCTCACGAGTAGAAACACTCGCACACTTCCCGATATCCGCAAGCTCTACCCTTCATCCAGAGGCAGGTCGTTGTGTGCTGTTCTAGTAACCGCATTACACGAGCCCGACGACCGCGCGCCATGAGTGCCGATTTGAGGGCCAAATACCCTATCGGGAGTGTACCCCCGATTTCCTTCACACCATATTTAATATTTTGCTCCTATCTCGTGAGCCTCATCGGAGCTTTTACTACAGTGGAACTACTTCATCGACGAGTCTCGGGCTCTGGGTGGCGAGCATGGTACGTAACGTTCACCGAGATCACACTACACATTTTAACGACAACAGGGTGCAAGTGGGAGGCTGCGCGGTGTCTTTCGGCTTAGTCGCCATATGGTGTAGTAGGTCATTCCTAACTTACTTGGACAACTACATGACCTAGAAGACTGACTGTAGGATTAGTGCACTTCGTCGGCAACAGAGCAATAATCTTAGGCGATGGTCAAGATGAGATTCAGCTCTACTATAGCCCGAGCTATACAGCCGTATCCGCTATTCTTCCTGTTGTCGTCATCTTCCTGGGATTGATCATCGCCGATAAGTTCTACAAGAACAGTAAGCGGGCGCTCACGCGCTACTCATCGTTGATCGTGTGCGGTGTCTGTGCTGGAGCTGCCGTCACGGAGATGCATTACCTTGGAAATAACGGAACGACGAATTACAAGCTTATCCTTAGCTGGCCTCACGTTTGCGGCGCTGCCAGTATTGCAGTCGGAGCTTGCCTGATATCATTTGGTCTCTTCTTCCACTGGAGCGGTCACTGGGTGAACTTCATCTGGCGACGGATAGTCGTGGCCTGCTTCCTGGCGTTGGCAGTGTCGGGCATGCATTGGACCGCAGCGGCAGGAACATGGTACGAGCTCCAGGGATACCACGAAGGCCCTGGACAGCAGAGGAATGTCACTCTCATCATTGCTCTTTGTCTTGTAAGTTCCAATCCTCTGAAGCCATCCTCTCCCCACTAGGTGCTGTCATCATTCGCTCTGTGTTCGAACTTTGAGCATTATCAAAGTGCATGGAAGTTGGGTCTGTATAGCTCCGATCTTTTCTTAGCACGTCACGGCGCGCTAGAAAAGTTTCGAGTCTACTCAAGCTCGGATATACCACGATGACAGTTGCTCTATATGCACGAATGCTAGCAGCATGTAGTGGTCATGAATTTGCTAACGTCACAATCAGTGTCTCTCAGCTTGTGCAGTATGCTTCCTCCTCGGCTTCCTCAAACAGCGCCAGCAAAGAATGCTCAAGGATCGTGCGCAGCAAGTTGTCCTGGCCGTTGCGACGTTTGACGCTGATGGCAAGTTGCTAGTCAGCCAAAGTGGTCTCATGCCTTGCCAGACTATTACTCGGCAATTCCAACAGCGGGTGAGTCGAGTGAAGAAGCTTTAGTTTGACATTACTGACGCGTGCAGACATTTGACGACGAGTTCAATACCTCCCATCCTGTGTTTCAATGGCTTTTCAGGGTCTCTCGGAATTGGACTGGTGTCGTCGAACTTATCCCATCGATGCGCGAACATCTACAAACCACCGGCTATATACAATCGACAAGTTCGCCAGCTCATGGAATGAACAGCAGGTCATCGTTCGACAGTGATTATGATGACTCGAGTTACTCCGCGACATTTCGGGAGCTTTTCTGTGTTACAGCCCAAGAAATCGCCAGATCCCTTGATACAAGTCTGCAGAACATGGGGACGCTCTTCGAGGATGTTCTCACGACTGGCACGTTGCTCAACCGAATGATCTACTACAATAGCCCTGGCCAGAAGGCGATCCTTGCTGCAGAAGTCGCAACCACCGGCAAAGATCTCGAAGCTGGCCATGCAAGTCCTATTCTCTTCGGAAAAGGGCAGCTGCTTGTCCTCACCAGAAGGGTAGATACTGGCGAAGCGAATCGTCTCCAGAACCTAGGGTATCGCTTTGCGAACATAGAACAAGTCGGTGATCAGCTAGCTCGAAGTCTCCAGGTTTCGCGCGATGATCTTGAGAGCTTAGTAGGCCGCCTGGACTCATTTAGCAAACGAGAGTCTGCCATTCCAAGCGCGGGAGTTCATCTCGCATCTTTCCTGATACAGCCATCGCCAGCAATGAGGGGTCTAGACCTCGTTGTCCCAAGAACTACTCCGGACCGCTTGCCCAATGGTCAAGCTAAGCAATGAGGAGCTTGACATTCAGGAGATAAGATTATTGGCGACCTTCAACGGCCTTACTCTGGACGATTGTCTCAAGCGCATCAGCCAGCGAACCCTGACGGGCTCAGATGACGACATATTCTTGGAGAACTTCCGAGACAAAATGTACGATCTCCTTCGCGAGTGTCCCGAGACAGCCCTTAACCACGCCTTCTTCTCTGCGCGGCAACTCGACGTCGCGCATGACCTTGTTGGTCACAAGGATATGACCGCAGCAACCGTCTTTGCTTTCTGCGGCATCAAGGAGATCTACGTCCAATCATTGCAGAGCTTGACTCTCAAGACAATTCCTCTCTCCTTATTCCAAACTTATCTCCGCTCATACCCCGGCTGTCCCGACCACGCAATACTAGCGCAGAAGAACCACAAAGAGTTCAGCAGTCTCCAGCGCGTCTCTACGAAGGATAAGACCCCCAATACTCGAAGCAGTGGCCTATGGCCCTCTAATTTACTAAAGAAGGCGAAGCCGACGCCCACTGAAATGCCATGGCAGGGAGATTCGTCATCTGAAAAGGGCCTCGTGCATGTCTCGCAGTCTCCACCAGATAGTGCCAGTCACCCATGGGGATCTATCATGGTGACGTCAACGCAAAACATGACAATCTACGATGGCAACAAGGACGGCGCTGCAATGGAGATGCGCGAGCTAGGCGTCAAGTCCGAGGTTGGCATGGCAGAGACAGAGCGGCCAACCTTGGCCGACAGGTTGATGTCGATTACAACTGGTTTCCGAGATCCACATGCGGCGAGAGCTTTGCCAAAGGATTTGGTCTATGGCCGACGATAATGTTGTGACAATGTTCAGCACGTTTTTTTGCCTCGCAATTTCGTAGCGTTTTCTTCTCCTTTGGGATACCCACTATCATGTAAAGTAGCTTGATCTATAGCGGCGTTTTTGGATCACGGAGCTTCACGGCGTTGTTTGCTGTTATGGTAGTTGTAACATTAGACAGTGGTATGTACATGTAGGCATGATTGATGTTTAGGGACGAATTTTCCACACAGAGCCAACACACATTCACACAAAAATACGTTCATCGAGCATATCACGTCATGTTATTCTATCGTCACAGACGTACGATGTCAACTTGAGATCAATCACGGCTCACCGAGTGAGTAGAGATTATAAGCTGACGCAAATACAAGTGTAGCTTTCATTGCGTATCTGAACCAGATTTTGAGTTTGCTATCCTTTGAAAACTCGACTTCCATAGTGTCCCGTTCAATCCGCCCTCGACGTCACGCTACTAGTCTACATTCAAGACCGCGCGAGATGGTGGCCAGAGCTATTTTGCCCGTGAAGCTGCCTGGGAAATCGCGTTCACCAGTAGTATGGCTCCATTCCTTCAGCAACGGTAACCTCCAGTTCAGGCTTGTAGAACAGCTCGCGCATAGTGTCCTTCCACTCTATGCCATATTCCGACCATTGTTTGTAATTGATCAGAACATGCACATGCTTGACCGCTTTGAGGCTGCGAATAGCATGGGTCCTACGGAGCTCCAAGCCCTTTCCACTCCATGTGGCGATATCGGACGGCTTGAAGATAATGGAAGTCACAAGCGCGGCTTTCTCCTTCCCGAATAATCCCGTGAAGCCATGAAGTGAACAGGGTTCGGTGTCGAAAGTCAGAGTCGAAAGGAAGAACTGCATCGCTTCGGCATTGATTTGGCGACAAGTCTGTAGCAAAGCAATGATACCTCGCGGGCCGTCGTAATCGAGGTAGACTTTCGGATCATCCCATGCAGGGTGCACCTTGACTGCCGCAGTAGGAAAAGCGAGCTCGTAGATCCTGTTGCGCAACTCTGCTGGCAGAAGGAGGAGAGGCGACCGAGTTTGGTTCTCCCGCGTGCTGGCACTTGTTAGTAAACAACGAAAAGCTGCCGGTTGCAGGAGCGGCGTCGTTGCATACATGCGCTCGCACTCTGAGGCCATCATGGCTCGATCGGGCGGATCTAACTTTAGGATCCATTCGTTGGAGGCGGGTGTAGTGAGATGCGAGCAGCAACAGAGGTGAAATTTAGACGCAGGGTTGCTATAGAAGCGACAGCAAACGGGGATTGCGTCCTCGCCCAGCCACGGCATGACGTCGCCACAAGTTATAGGTGCATAGCAAAATCAATTTCAGTCCTAATATACAAGTATTACCCAATTAAGATATGTTTCCTAAGAAGTTGGCGCAAAACATGCCGTACCCAGAGCCAAAGAGCAAAGCATTCGCAGAGTCGTCATATTCCCATCTTCACTACGTGTACCGCCGTGTACCGAAGTCCCAAAGCGGTGAGATGCCAGTTTGATTTTTACATCATCGTCCAAGGATGATGTTGACACGGGTCTGTATGATGGACATGTATCCTTCGAGGACTGGAACGGCCATGGCCTTTTTTATACCCAATTCTGTTCCGATGTAATACAGCATGCTGTTCAACCACTCTCGCTTTGCTGTAATATCCATTGTTTCGGAAGCTATTATTCCTATTTGGTCAACCGGGCGGTCATTTGGGTGTATTGGCATGGAATCAAAAGGGTGTGGTTGCCTTTCGGACGTAACAGGCACATGTGGTGCACTTGGTGGTGCCTGCGTTGAGTCGTATGGTTCCGGCGATCGCGTTATTGATGGCAGAGAACTGAATCCGTGAGCAGCGGTGGCCAAGGAAGTGTCATGGTAGAAAGCATTCCCGGCTTGCCCAGCCGCTGTAGAGCCCTGTCCAGATAGTGCGCCTGTCGATGAAGATTGCGGAGTAGCGCTCGACCGGGCAAATCCGTTTGAATCCAGCACTAGTCCAGAACTGAGTATAGCATCCATGGTACTCAATGGCCACACGATGACATGCCCTTTCATTCCCATCACATCCTCGGGCGACTTTCCATACACCGGAACAGTGAGAGTGCCAAGAATGGAAGAGCACGTCTCCTCGATGGTCTGAATGATGGATCTTGTGATAGACGATCGGAGGAGGCGCGTTGTAGTGTCATCCAAAGCAGTCACAGTGCTTTCATCGGCGAATTGTTCTGTGTCGGGCAGTCTGTATTTCAAGCGTCTCCATGTACGCGTCAATGACGTCCTTGGCTCCGTCTCCGGTAACCTAGACATCCAGCTCAACATCTCGAGAAGGTCGCGCAGTAGAAACATCCGGCTCGTACGATAGTATCCCCACATGGAACATATTTTTAATGTAGTGTATGTGTGGATCTCAGTTGGCGCGCCACGGCTTGTCAATACCAGCCTTTGCCACTTGCTACTGTATTTGATCTGTGCGTCCGGACTGTTGGGTTCCATGACATACTTCCAAGGCGGGGGTAGGTCGGACTCCCATACTTGGAATTCGGCATCAAGATCGAGAGCGAGTTGCAAGGTTTCCTGTAACTCAAGACGATTACTAGGCTGCGGAACGCTGCGCTTTGTTTCATGCCACATGGCGTGTAGCTGGGCAGACTTCCAGATCAATCCAATGACGAAAATCCCAGAGCCCGTGCAAAAGCTGGGCAGATACATGCGCACGCTAGGCAGGTCTTGAACTGGAATCGGCGGTATAGTGGCGGCTTGTAAGCTGGCAAGTAGCTATCACAAGCGTGTCAAATCCTTGTACAGCCGATTGGGGTGCTGGAAGACGTACCATCTGAGCATATGCAACTTCGTACAGCCTGGCTGAGATGGGGCTGCGGTAGTAATTCTCAATTGTGCGCAATTGAAGCAACGCATTCGCTCCGTGCTGATGTGCTGCAAAAGACCCTTGTCGTTGAAATTTAGTCAGCGTCTATTGAACTTAGTACGAGGCCAACTATGACATGACGGGCACGAATAGTATACCTCGAAGATACCCATAAGATGAACTGAACATAGAGCCTCATCGGAGGCCGCGGTTTCCTCATTCGCAATCATTCTCGATAACATCTTTATACCTTCACCGAAGCTTTCCTCTGCCAACGCCATCGCTTGAGGCACATCGCGTCTGTTGGCAAAGTTTATGTAAGCAACAGCGTTGACTACGGTGACTAGACAGGATTGCGGATGAGCATTCTCATAGAGAAGGGGAACAAAACTGAACAAAGCATCTGACGGTTCTTCTAGTGGCTTGTTGGGATCCGGAAATACAACGAAATCATATACGAATCGCTGGTAAGCCAAGTGACGCAGGTCTTGCCTTGGTGACGTGGGTATGGGCAGCTTCGAACGCCCGAGAGGCGACGCCACTCTTACATTATCGAAATAAGTGTGGCCCGGGCCATGTGACGTACTGGGTGAGACACTAGAGCCACTGTCATTGGAGCGTGCTTGCTGATTTTCTGGAGAATTCCTTTGATGGCCGCCTGCTGCAAGCCTACGTGTAGTGCTGCTTTCACCAGAAGCGTCGAGGAACGACTTGGAACGCCTCCTCCAGGAGTCTTCGGCACGCTGCGCGGCAATGTCGGTCTGATTTCGGAACAGAATGTCCGTCCGGTCTCGATATCTGCACTCCTGGTTTGACCTGGCACAGCGGCTGCACTTCGGCGTTGCCTCATCGCACTGTAGAGCCGCGTTAGTTTGACATCTTTAGACACAACCGAGGTACAGAGAGGTATTTTGACATGATTGACGTGCGGACAGAGGGCATTCCATGAAACTGACGAAGCTCTCAACATACCTTTACTTTCCGAGCACGGCATCCATCACAACCCTTGCTTGGCCGACCCCGATAAGACATTTGACAAGCTCAAGTATACGCACTTCGCGGCTTTGTTTGGTACACAGTTAATATCGCATTAATGAGAAGACATGTGAGCGGATTAAGTACTCCGGGAACAAGACTCGGCATGGTGGTCAACTACCAGGCTCACATCATTGTGTCAAGTACCTAGGGTTTCCTTCTCATGTTTTTTGTTTCGCGTAGTATGGAGCTTCTGGGGTGTCTGCTGACGCACGAGGTTGTTGTGCTCGAAGGGGTAGGCACATCATTCTTGGGGTGCCATACGGCAGCTGCTCCGATTAGCTGATCGAGGCAGTGCAGAGCTGTTCGCGGATACGGGTGTGTCGAGAGATGAAATTCTCTTGCAGGGTCATTACTCAATGTCCTCGCATTTGCAGCGTATAGCTGCTAATTGACGGAAGTGGGAGAAGAGCCTTGCTGACAGGGGCAAGTGGCCCTAGCCGACGACGGCTGGGAATGTTTCCGAACGTCACAACCTTCGCGACACCTGCAGACAGAACCTTTGTTAGCAGAAACAGTTTCACATCATTGCCGACGCTACGAAGTTACCCGGTACTCGGGTTTCTGTCTGCAGATGCTCTCATGTTCATAGCGAACGAAACAAAAAGACACATCGTCATGGTTCTCGCATTGACCAGGCTCAGCCACGCGACCAGCCAGCCACCAGCCCCAGGCCTCATGGATCCTCAAGGGCGGCTTTTGGTCGCCCATTACAATCCTAGTGGAAGTCATTATGCCACGCCTCGTATATCCACAGGATGTGCCGGATCAGTCAAACCTGGTACAGATCACCTGGAAAATCATCGGGGGAGTCGATCAGAATGCCAACTGTCCGAATGTGCGAGTCAGGATCGATATAAAGTCCACTCAAAATCACATCACGTTGCAGGAAGTTGTGGGCTATTCTACCAAGAGCCTCGAGCCTATAAGAATAGCCGCCATTAGCACTGCCGACCCTATGCCGGTAATTGCTTTTTCGAACAACGTTCCACTTGCAAACCTCTTTGGGAAGTGATTTCAATTCGTCTCCCTTGTCCATCTTTAGCGAACGTCACAGCAAACGATCGAAACGTTTGCATAGTTTGCTATTTGTTCCAACATCCTTGCACATGATCTTCATCTTTTCGAACCGAGTACATGCCTAGCAAAGGAGATCAGGTACAAGATGTGATCTGCTGCTCATGATACGACGGCAGATTCCGGCGTCATGCGAAGGCAACATGTATCCGGGAAGAAGCCTGGGTGGTTTGTCATCAGCTCACGGATGCTGGCATCGATGAAGGTCTATGAAAGCCACGGCTGCTACATTTGAAATCGAAACCATGTCATGCGAACGTCTTCAATCGCTACTTCTCATGTCCTAGAGGCAGTGCTTGTGAGTCACCTAACAAGATGACCGCAGAATTTATGAGGTGGAAGGCGTTTGACCCAAGACGGCATGGATTTCATTGAACTAGTACACACGCAAAAAGTCGGAATACAGCCACAGTGCGGATTGAGCCTCTGCCAATAAGAAGTGGCGTCACATTTCCTGCTCTCACTTCAAGTGCGTCTCACGAGAGCGCTATTCACTCTCACCGGCTAGCGCGTCAACGCTTGGAAAAGCTTTCGAGCGCAACTTCCCACATTGTCATTACCTGAACTACGCCCCTCAAACCTGAGCTATCGCTCGTAACGCCAGCATCATGTCGGGTGACGACATAGAGCTTGCGGAACCAGAATCTCCGTCATTTGTGTATGTTCACTCTGCGCATTATTCTTCCATGACTGACACGAGATTTAGTGCTGCTGCAGCGGGCCCCATGGTCACCGTTGAGGTAGGGCTAGACCGTGAACGCTTTCTCATTCATAAGGCGTTATTGGTCTATCACTCGGAATACTTTGTGGCTGCTACAAGAGGGCCTTGGAAGGATACCTAGGATGAAGTTGTACCACTACACGACGTTGAGCCAACCACGTGTACGTGTCGCGATCTTCCAGCCGTACAAAATTCATGAAGCTAACTCAACCTTTAGTTAAGCTGTTCGTGCACTGGCTCTACACCAAGACTGTGCCCGACGTGGACTCCTTCGAGGAATGGTCGCCAATCATCGATAGCGCTCTTGAACCCAGCATGTATGATGCATGGATGCAAAAGGTTTTCCTTGTTCTTATCAAAGCCTATGCGTTTGGCAACAAATTTCTTGCAACCAGGTTCCGACAGGATGTCAATCAGGCGTTCTCGGATCATCTACACTGTAACCGCCTAGAACTGCCCGATGGCTGGCATGTCATGCAGTATGCTTTCAAGCACGTGCCATTGGATCGCCCCATTCTCCAGCATCTGGCTGATCATCATTGCAACTTCTGGCCTGAGTCCTATGACAAGGAGATAGACATACAAGCACAGAAGAGATTACCGCGATCTTTTCTGATGCGCGTCAACAGGAGATTCTCCGAACTTCTGCCAACGATAAACACTGCGTGGAAGGGTTCTCCTCCGCGCTGTTACTACGAACATGCTTCGGAAAAGGAAATGCAGAAGTGTGGAAAGTCACACATGGTTTACGATGAGGACAGAGAGTACGGATACTTTCCCAAAGAACGATGAACTGATTCACGATAGCTGGATTCTCCCCAGGTTCAAAAGAGAGACTCAGATTTTCTTTGGCCAAGGAAGTAATTAGGAACAACTGTGTCAATGGAGCTCATGAGACAAACCTTCGCAATCCCCTCACAACTGTTGCTCATTCCCTGTCTCACAAAGTCCCTCTTACCCGTCTCTTCATCTCACCTGGGCGGTTATATGTCTTGAAAACGCTAGGTGATAGTCTCTTCCAAACTGGCCTTTCCTTGCTTTATTCGATTGTCTCCCACCCGCTCCTAGCAAATGAACTACATAAACTACCTTCCCACGTGCTCCGCCTATCAGAAACACCACCTCCTCTAACGTATCAGCCATGACCTCCGAAGAGACAGCCATCAAGCGTATGACGCCCAAAGAGCTCGCGTAAGTGGTCAACGAAAGCAATTATACCATTCAATTGACTAATGAATCTGCCAGCCATGCCATCGCAGGCCCCGTTACTACTATCGAAGTCGGAAGTGAGCGCAAACGCTACCATGTTCATACGAAACTATTAAAATACCACTCTTCCTCGTACAAAAGTTACTTCAACGACTTGGGCGACAGGAACGTCGGTGCAGTCCTTGAGATCCCTGACACCAGCTTCCGCGCGTGTAAGTATACACTCTGGAGCGATACTAGCTTGAGACAATAACATAACATCATGTGTCTGTTAGTCAACCTCTTCGTCCATTACATCGATACACAGTCCATGCCTCTAGATCAGGACAAATTCATGGATCTGATCAACCAGCCTGGCGAGGAGGGAGGTTGGACCGAGCACACGCCAGTGGAGACTACCAAAGGGTTCCTTCTTGCTGAAAAGCTCTCTGCTCCAGGATTCCGTGCCACCATCAACAAATACTTCATGTTCGTGTGGAACCAGGGTCTATGCGAGTGGTTCGACAAGCTCGAAATGCATGACATGGCAACGGCTATGATCAACAAGGTCCCCCAGGAGAGGGTAATTTGGCAGTTCTTGGTTGACGAGTGTTGCTTGCCCTACAAATATAAGCGCTTCGTATTGAATGTAGCCGAAGACAAGGAAGGTGAAGAAGGGCTGTCTAGGGAGTTTTTGTTGAGATGTATGAGGAGATTTCGGGAGCTGGTAGAAGAATCAGAGCAGGGCAATGTTAAAAAGCGCTGTTATCTAGAGCATCTGGACTCAGATCAGAAGGAAGATTGCTTCAAACTACACATGAGGTACGACAAGGAGACTGGTCATGAACACTTCGAATGAGTTAGCCATATAGAGCAAGATGGCATCTGGCTCACTTGAGTATCGGAAGCGAATAAGGAGGTCCACATTTTGGGTTGGAGATCGTCAGCTTAGTACCATTCACACTTTGACGACTCCAATTAAAACGAAGGCCGACAGCTGCCAATGTTTCAACATATGAGCAGATTTAGATCTTCATATTTTGAGAATTTTGGACCTCCATATCACCACACCTTTGTGTCTCTACACAAAGATGATCGTATACTTAATACCTCAGCATATCAACGAATCGACACACTAATGCTTTCAGCACAAACCACCACCTTCACACCCTCATACCTCAACGCTTTTACATTTTTACATACTCATGCTTTGATGCCTTTACACCTTCACATATAGCTTCGAGTCGCTGCCCACCGAGCCTTAGATACTGACTTACATCTTTACACATTCATACCTTGACACTCCGAGAGCCTCAGACGTTCATGTTCACATGCCCCTATGCTTCAGCACATCAACACGCCACTGTTCAGATCGCAGCTCACAAGAACAAACTGCATCACAAAGTCACGTAATAGAACGAAGCAATCTTGCCTTGCACGCAGCAGCATATTACAATAAAATTTGCATGATCTCATAAGCTCGAGCACTTCAAGCCAGACCGAACTTTCTCCTCCCTTATCCCATGAATCGAACACAACACCCTGTCTCTTCATCACACCACACGTCAAGCCTTAGCAAGCGGCTTCCCACCCTGTCCCAACTCAACAATGTCCTCCCACAAATCATTCAAGATCTGCTTCGTCATGCCCTCGCCCTCGCTCCTCGTCTGAAGCGTCTTCGCAACGGAACTAGCCAGGCCTTGGAGATCGCTCGTCGTCTCGGACAAAGCGGAGGGAGCGTGGATATGCGTATCATCCGCAGATGCGGTGGAGACAACAGGGATGAAGACCTAACCATCGAATGATTAGCAATCAGATTTCGTGAAGTGAAAGAAGGGAAGGGGAAGGGAACGTACAGGCGTCTCCGCCTCGGTATTCCTCGCCTTTACTGCATCACTAGCCTCCCTGCCCGGCAGGATCGGCACCCTGAAGGCCTGGTTGCTCGCCTGGGCGTCAGAGCCGGATTCGGGCAGGTACGCGAAGTCGATGGTGGAGCTGTCGTTGACGGCTTTGAGGGTGCGGCTGGTGTTGAAGTGACGGGCGGGTTTGCCGGTGTCGTTGGTGGGAGGGGGGAGGTTGGGGAGGCGCGGGGCGGAGCGCGTGCCGGTGGGCTTGTCGGATGTGAGGATGGAGGAGAAGGTTGTTGGGCCGGTGATGGACAGGGAGCGGGTTGTGGTTTTGGAGGTGGAGGTGGAGGTGGAGGTGGATGTGGATGTGAGGGCGCGGAGGGCGCGGGTGGAAATGCGTGCTGTAGACATAACTGTCGATTGAAAATTGGGATGGGAATAGAAGTGGTGAAGGAAGTAAGCGATGAGTTGCTTTGAAGTAATACAGAAAGTGTCCGATCTGACCCGGAGTGCAGTATAAGTCAGCTCCAATTGATTGCAAGTGTTGAGGAATGATGACCAGAAATCGGGAGAGGGGAAGCTCCCTTCTTCAAGCTTCACGCTCACACCATCCTTGGCTCACACCATCCATCTGGCGGTCAACAGCACTACACCTTGCACTAGGCCATTGACAACGGTGCGCACGCGATTGGTGTGTTAGTCCGCACCGCGATGTGTCCCTGACGATGCTGCATGCGTAGCTGTGGACCTCGGGAGCTTGGGACACGTCGGGGTCCGGGAGGACGGCCGCTGTAGATCCACTTGTCCATGACCCCGCACCGAAAGTCAGCGTGCGTGCTGCAAACATGCTTTCGTTATCTTGGATGGAAGCTTGATATTACAGCGGATTTTCCCGGAAGCAGCCAATTGTCTCCTTTCAATTGCTTTTTGCCAGCCTCAATGACCATATTGAACTTGAAGAAAAAAGCACCCTCGACTGACTCAAATGTCGGTGAGGCGACGCACGTACGCCCAGGGGTCGTTCATGGCACCAGGCAAGTCAATTCTAGCCGTGATGGGCGCGAGCTGCGAAGTCGGTGGTTTGTGCAACTTGTTGTGCGTATTTCTGGGGCGCTCGGGTCTCCGCCCAGCGGCGCCGCTGCACAACAAGCCGCCGTGAGATGTTGAAGTGAGGCGATAAGGGGCAGCGAATCATGTAGCTTCATGTAAATGTTCGCATCAGGATCATGATTTTGGTATTGAGAAGCAAGATTAACGAAACTCGATTGAAATATGTGGTAGACTTGTAGGCACTGCAGTGAGTTGAGAGATACGCATAACACTTAGCATCTCAACACTTACCAACTACGCGACAAGATCGTGATGTTGAGCCTTCAAAGTGTTGCATTCGCAAAGTCTTCTCGATGCGGTAAAGTGGCATTCTAACCATGACCTCGCCAGAAAACCCATGGTACGTCTTACAAGCCCCACAACCCGTCAGTGGACGATTCTAGCTCGCCCAACAACCCAAACGGGCTGGGATTTTGTCTGTAAGCGGGTTTCAGTCATATCCAAGTCGTTTGCATGCCATGTTCATCTAGCTCCCGTCCCTTGTTTAAGAATATAAGCGTAATAACTTCAGCATTTGTCATCAAAGTTGAAAGAGACTATCGACGGCTCAGTGGTCTAGTGGTATGATGTATGTATCCACCACCACTCACTTCTTCAACAAGTGTCTAACCGTCTTGCAGTGTCGCTTCGGGTTTCCCATAACCTGGATTCTTAGAGTCTTCTATGTGACAGGCCCCGGGTTCGAATCCCGGCTGAGCCCTTTGTTTTTGCGCCTTTATGCTACCTTTTTGCGCTTCTTTTTGTGCCCGGGAAAAAGACTGGGGACTTGCAGGAAGGTGGTGAATGCATAGACGATGGAACCTGGATAGTAGGAGTGACGTGGTGGGAAAGAGACTGTTTGAGTCCATTCCCCTGTGTCCGGGTCTACTTGAACAAGCTACAAACTTTTTGCTTAAACGATAAATAAGCAGCTGATGCACATCATCAAGCCTGGCATCAATCGACATGTCTCAATTAGTGAGTACCTGATTTAAACAGTTTCATTAGAGGTACTTTAAAACATGTCCTATCATTCAATATGAAAGGTTTCAGCGAAAACCATCTCTCTACCTACTAAGTGAGGAATTAAACAATAGAGGAACATAGACTCTTGCAAACTGAGGCTGAAGAACGACTAGACGAACTGTTGCTAGGCCTAGTTACGAAAAAAAAAGCGAGGTTCGTCTCTAAAACTCCACTGCTGAGACCAAAAAAATCGTAAGTGAAAAAGAAGTAATAGCTCTTCCAAAAAAGAAATACCAAGCTGAGGACTTTTCAACATGAGAACGCCACGTAGAAGACACAAGTTGAATCTGCATATACCCACTTAAGTCTAGCATTTTCAGTCTCGCACCTCGCATGCCGAGTAATTTGCTTCACACAGCCGGGCTCATCACATCAATCATAATGAACAAATTATCAAGAGGACTTTCAAACTGATAGCTTTATTACTGCCATGCCATCATACCTCTATCCTCTAAGCCAGATTCCCAACAAACATTGACACCGCCTCAATGCGTATACCACCCAAAGCTCCCAATCCGGGGTATCATAACCCTACAAAAGTCAAACTCGCTTGCACCCGTCATAAACAGTGAAAGTGGTATCCAGAAGAAAAGAACATCAAGCAAGCAGCCATAGTCGTGGTCGCGTGAAAAAGAAAAGCATCATGTGGGGGGGAAAGAGCAGGGTAGTGGAGGAGGAAGAACAAGAAGAAGACTAGTGATAGCCCTGATCACTCGCCCACCCACCCTCATTCCCAGCATACACAGGCTGCTGACCCTGATAATCGCTCTCGTCCTCAAAGTACTCGCCGCCACTCGACGCATCGAAGCTGCTGCGCCCGCTGATATCGCCCTCCATCTCCTCTGGATTGCCCGGCGGCAGCTGATCCCACTGAATGCCCGCGAGCGCTGGATATTGCGCAAGCAGTGCAGCGGGCAAGAACTGCGCTGGGGCCTGGGACATGCCCGCCTGGGGGAACGGCTCGAAGCCAGACTGCGACATCATGCCAGGGCCGTAGTTTTGCGCGGGCATTTGCTGGAACATGCCGGTGCCGTTGGCCATCTGCTGCTGGCCGTCCCAGCCGCCCTTTTCTTGCGCTTCTTCCTCGAGCAGAGGGCGGATGCAGACGCGCCCGGCTTCGGAGCGGAAATGGCGGCCGAGAGCGTCGGCGCGTGCGAAGCGCCGCCCGCAGCCCCAGTGGTTGCCGTCCTTGAGGTTGCCGCGGCATACAAACTTCTTCTCGCCGGAGTGCAGGCCTTCGTGGCGCTTGCGATCGTGCTGGCGCGCAAACGCCTTGCCGCATACGCTACAGACGAAGGGGCGCTCGTCTGTGTGCGTACGTAGATGCGACCTGAGGTTGTAGGCGCGGGTGAAGCGCTTGGGACAAAGAGAACATTGGAACGTTGCTGGGTGCTTTTGTGTGCGCTTGGGATTTGAGCCGTCTGCTGGAGCAGGTCGGCTTGGGTCTGCGAGATCAAGTATGTAGTCGCGGTTTGGTACACTGCTAGTCGACGAACGGCGTGATGACTTGTTTGAAGGTGAAGGGGAGCGAGATTTGGCGGCACTTGGGGACAAGGACCGATGTACGTCTGAGCCGGGGGTGGAAGCACGCGAGCTGGCGCTGCTGAACGGATCAGACTTTGCGCGTATACGATTGCGACTCCGTGCTATACCATGATTAGCAAACTCCTTCGGGTGTCGCGTGCGTGTACTTACATCGATCAGGCGGGCTCAAAGCATCAGCTTGGTGCTCGGGCTTAGGAGGCTCGAAGCTGGCCTGTCGCGAAGGAGGAGCAAAGTCGATGTTGATTTCCGGTGGTGACATGGCGTCAGCTTGACCAAATTCTGGAATACCTTGATTCAGAGAGGGGAATGGCTCAGCGCCAGAATTTGGATACACGCCCATTCCCTGTTGGCCGAATTGGTTGTTCATATTCGGGTCCAAACCAAAGCTGCCAGGCTGGAATTGCGGGAGCGCCTGCTGCTGTTGCTGCGGGATCAAACGCGGGGACAGGTGAGGGCTGTGGCCCGGGCTGATGTGCGAGGTGCCGTCATTAAGCGTGAATTGTCCGAACTGCATGACTGGATCTTGGAACAGCTGTGGGTCGTTCTGCGCGTGGAGGAGGGGTGACGGCTGGTTCTCCTCGAAGCTATCCTGCTGGGTGAGGTAAGGTGACGCGTGCGCGGAAGAAACGTCCGAGTACGTCTCACTGGGCGCTCTCCTGTGGGCCGCGGAAGTTGGCCATGTTCCCCCATTCACTGCCCTGAGGCGGGGCCGTACGCGGCGCTAGGATCTAGCGACGCGTGACGCGAGTGTCCCGGTGAGGGGAACGCGCCCTGATTCATGTTCGGCGAGGCGTGGGGACTCGGGTTCTGGTGATTGTTCATCGTGGGCAGCAGGTGCGGCGGGGTGGGGGTATGCGATTGTGTCGCCGCCATCTGGTTCATCAAGTCGTTTGGATTGATGGACTGGTTCTGCTGCTGCTGCGACTCCAGCAGCTGCGGGTCGAGGGTGCTTCCGAGGTACGTGGGGTTGAGCGCGTTATTCTGATTGAGGTCGCTGCCCGCGAAGAAGCTGTTGAAGTCGGGACTGGACGTGTTTGCGATGTTGAGGTGGTCGGGCTGGAGGTCGTTGCCTTGTGGCCTGAACTGTGGCGTGTTGTGCTGCGACAGGCTGGGGTTGGCCTGTAAGAAGCTCTGGTCGAGTCCCTGCTGCGCGAACTGTTGCGGCTGCGTGGAGGCCAGGAACTGGTTGCTGTCGAAGCCCGACGACGTTGCTGGGAAGCTCGATGTGGGGTGGATAGAGGGGTCGTATGGGGATAGGTTGTTTGGAAAAGCGTGGGGAGAGGGCGAGCTCCTTATGTTGTTTGCGTGTGAGCCCGCAGAGGGAGAGCGGCCGCGTTGTATATCCATCATGTGTGTTCTAAATGTAGAAACCAGATCAGATCGCAGAGCGCAGAGCAGGTCTGAGAGAGCCTTGGAGGGATGGGCGCTAGATCAGCCGCGGGACGCCTTGAAAGTGGCTCTGCCCGCCTGTTGCGGCGCGGTGACTGGACAGAACGGCCTACGTCAACAAACAGCGTTCCTGGCAGAGAGAGAAGCTGAGGCTGGTGGGCAAAGGAGGCTGTGTAGGTGTGTTCTTCGGTGCGGGTATGCTGCTTGGTGGGCGGTGCTGAGGACAACCTGGATATCCCGAAATAACACAAGCGCTGACCCGCCTGCACTGCACTCGCTCGCTTCGACGTGTAGGCTGCTTCGAGTGCTGGATAATTGTGAAACGGTCAGTGCAAGGGTGCCGCTTTGGAGCGACTGCGCTGATGTGATGTGGGATGCGACCAAGCTCGGCGTCGAACAATGAAGGTCAACGGCAGCTCGAAGCAGGGCGCGACCCTGTAGAAACAGCAGGTGGACAATAGCGATTGTGCGCAAAGTTGCTCCAGGCTACCTTGATCTAATGCGGTCTCGTGATGCTCACTAGGTGCAGCGCTGAACCATAATTCAAGCCGTCGAACTTGTCAATGCCGGTGCCTGAGGCGGTACGGAACGGTCCACGGGTACGTCTTTGCGAACAACAACGGCGAGCTGCCGCGCCCCAGCCTTATAGGAGAGTCAAATTGCGCGCCTGCACGGCGGGTAATGTGATACAAGACGGCGAGCAATTGGCGGATAGGGCAAATTGTACGTCTGCAGTTCTGCTCCAGTTATGCCGAACTGTCACAAAGCCGGTGCCGAGCCCTCATTTGCTAGCCGACCAGTGGAGCGACCTTGTGGTGTGAAAGTCATTACCGAGCACCAACACTATCCCTCACAACTTTTCCAGAACTGTGGAACCCAACACCTTTGCAAGTCTGCTGGCTATCAATAGTCGGAAGGATTCGTCATGGAAGCTTCCGGGCGTAAAGTACCAAGCGGTGCGGTTGAATTGATCAACGGCGGTGGTGCTGTGGGACGGTTTGCACAGCCACGAACGTCGAGTGTCGCGAGGCGTACTGCACATGTCCACGCAAGGCAGACTGCCAGTATACGTCAACCCACCATAATTCCCATGTTTGGGGAATCGGGATTTTCTCTGTCAGTGTAATGCATTGCGTGGCGACAAGAATAGCTCATGCGTATGCATTATTCCCGTTGCTCATCCAAACCATGTTCAGATACTGGTATCTATCCTACGCCACGCTATGATGCATAATGCCATTCCTGCTTCTCTGTATCTCAACCAAACTTTAGTCCCTGTGTGGGATCCCATCGGCCATCTTGTGCCGGGCCGTTTGATGGCCTTGCGTTCCCAGATGCTGTCGGCACACCACCAAAGCGAATACCTACTTCTGGCGTCCACATGCCTGATGGCGGAGGAGCAGCCCTCGTAGGTGTCGGTGCAGTCAATGGTGCTTCAGCATGCGCTTCTGCGCCGTACTGTGGATTCTGTGCATCTGCCTGCCGCTGTTGCTGCAGAGAACTCGAATTTGCTTGCTGAAGACTAAGAGAACTCATCCTAGTTGCGAGATCGCTGGGTATTATCAGTCATGAGTACACATGAAAAGGCCCGTTTGAACTTACGCCTCGATCTGCGAAGCCTCGGACTTCCGCTGATACGCAAAGCTCCGCGCGTCGTCTCTAAACCGACTGACGATCTTCGCAAGATCGTTGTAGAACTTGCGCCCGACATCGAGATTCGAGATGATCTCCTTGTACTTGAAATAAGCATTCTCCAGGTTCTGCAGCGCTTGTTCGCGCTTCTTCGTTGATTGGTCACCACGGCGAGCGACGAGGAAAGCAGCGTTGGCGTCTTGTAACCGCTTGATGGCGTCTGCTTGCTCCTTCTCTTCCTCTTGGACCATGTCTTGGTCAGCATCGTACATCTGTAGTCGCTTATCGAAGAGGCTTTCGAACTGCACCGCCTCGATGGTCTGCATTGGGTACTCCCGCTCTAAGCGAGCGGCTTCTCGAAGCAGTTCGGGATCTAGTGGGATGTAAGCATGTCATAAGCATGAGGAATCATGGCACTTACTAATGTCATCTTGCTTTGCTTTGGTCCTGAGAACTTCGACCTTGCGCCGCCTTCTGCTCTCTAGCCGGCTGACCTCGTTGAAGCAGCCTCGTAGTTTGCCAGCCTCTCGCTCTACATCACCAGTAATCGCAGGCCTTCGACCACTGGGCACATAGTTCTCAAGATCGTGGTCCGGTCCGCTCAAAAGCTGTATGAAGTGCTCGTTCTCCTTGAGCTTGGTCTTAACGATGTTATCGCTATTTGTCGCTGCTTTGAAGTAACCGTCAATCTCGTTGATTTGGGCGTAAAGCTTCGGCGCTGCTCTCTCAGCTGCTGCGCGTGTCCAAAGTTCTGTGCCATACTTTCTCCGCGCACCTTCGTCGTCGTTCGCTTCAGTCTTGAGAATATCAACACCTTCATGGTAGATGGCCTGGTCGCTGTACATCAGTTTCTTTGTATCCTCCATAGATCGCAGTAGCCTGTTGATGCCGTCTTGTTGTCGAATTTCCTCTGCGTGAGCACTGAGACCTGGTGGTAGACCCAGAGGCTTCTCCAACGCCTGTAACGACCCTGGAAGGTTAAGACTCCGGAGTACCTCGTGAATCTGGGTTGTAAGTCCTTCCAGCTCCTCAACGATTGTGTTATTGACCAGTCGGTCACGGCGATCCACGTAAATGCTCGCCGCCAGATGAACAGAGTAGGGAACGAGTTTCGAGAACAATGCAGGTCCTAGTTCGCCGCGCTCGCCCAGCATAGAGTTGGATTCGGCCACCTCTTTCGGTATTCTCGATACCACCATGTTTGCGCGGTCCAGTATCTTGAGCTCAGCCTTCGGCGTTACTGGCAGAAGGTAGATCATGTCGTTGTCTTTCTCCGCACGCTTCAAGTCTTCTGACACGCGGTTCTTCAAGCCATTCAAATCCGCCAGTACGAGCTTGTTGATGTAACGCTGTTCTTTGAGAGCCTCATTGACGCACGAGAGGCTATCCCGCAGCCGTGCAACTTCCTCTCCATATTTACGCTTCTCCAAGCTATCGCACGCCGCTCGGTACTGCGCAGCCGCGGCAAAGTGGTGGTGCTTGGCGTTCATATGGTGTATCCACTCGCTGCTGATAGCATCTGACTGTATACCCGCTTCCCTCGCTTCATCGTAGAGATCGGAGACGCGTGCAGCCAGCTTAGCGATGGTCGCATCCTTCAAGCCGTCCTTGACAGCCTTCTGCCAGAAACACTCTTGACCCTGCGCGAGCATGAGCTTCTCCAGCGACTCCAGCGTCATGACATCCATATCCTCTGGGGGCTCTGTGCGAAGCTCCGGGAGAATTGTGTTCCGCAGATGGGCCAGTACGCCCGCTGCCATGCAGAAGTTGTTGGCTGCCACCTTCAGTCCGTCTGGTGTGCTTCGGTTCGACGACATGGCTAGCTGCGAGTACATGGCCGCGAGGTTGAACATGATGTTGGCGAGCTCGAATCGGAGGTTGTTTCGGGAAGTAGGGCGGTTCGTGTTGTACCCCAGCGCAGGATACCATGGAAATTCCACTCCAATATCGACTGGAAACTTTCCGCTCAGCCATGTCAGCTGCGCCGCGTACTGCTGTAGCTTCGGGATGTTGCTTGGATGCGGTTCCTGCGCATGCGTAGCCTGGGATCGGAGCTTTTCGATCCTCTCCAGGTCCTGCGTGAACATATCCGGATGCTGGTCATACTTGGAGGATATGTACTGTTTGATCGCGTCGGTGAGGTTGACCGAGTGCGACTTTCGGAACGGCAGGAAGAGGATGTTGCTGTGCATCTGATTAGTTGAGGATGAATAGCCAGAGGGTGTGGCACTTACGAGGCCATAGCTACAGATTATTTGGCGTGTGTTCGCCGTGAACACTGCTTGTGAAAAGATGCAAAGACGTCACCGGCACAGCAGCTTGGACCCCGCTGCTAGACCCCTGCTGTCTTGCGCGTGGGGCTGCAGCGATCAGGCACGAGCATGTTGCACATCCAGAATGCCATGCTCGGAACACCTCGAGTATAAGCTTGGTACAGGAATATCAAGACTTCATACGGAGAAATTTCGCAGCCATATCCTATTCACCGGCCGCGGACACGTGATACCGTGCACTTTCTCCACAGCCCCTCTCACCTAACCAGCACTCCGGAGTACGGTACGTGACATGTATCAGCACCAACCGTGTCCTTTCGCACTTACCCTCCATCTCCGACCATGAGCACGTTTCGCATTCCAAAAAGCTTAAGCAGCGCACCAATATGAGCAGCACAACCAGTTCCACGGGCTCCGCACTATGCGGGGCTCTATGTAGCAATCTAGCCCGAATTACACCACCACCTTGAAACTTGCGCAATCCCGCCTTTGTCTTTGTTGGGCGCGTCACACTATATATAATCTGACCTGTTTCTTGTCACCTGCGCTCACCTTCACACAACGTCCTGACCAACGCTCTCCGAGTTTTTTGAATTACAAAGCGCCACCGCCCCGCATCGACCTTGTCCTTCTCAACTCTCCTAACCTACACACCTCTCGCACAAACCTACCTGCACCACCTGAACAACATACCACACAAAATGTCTACCCACACCTACAAGTTCAACATCGGCATGTCCTGCGGCGGCTGCTCCGGCGCCGTCTGAGCGCGTCCTCAAGAAACTCGATGGTGCGTACTTGTCCCACATCCCCTCCCCTCCAACCCATCCACCCACCAGGCCCCCAACTAACATGTTCTTCAGGCGTCGAGTCGTACAACGTGTCCCTCGAAACGCAAACCGCCGAGATCGTCGCCGCAGAATCTCTCGACTACGAGACGGTGCTGGAGAAGATCAAGAAGACGGGCAAGACGGTGAAGAGTGGGGAGGCGGATGGGAAGGAGATGGCTATTTAGAGCGCCATGAGGGTCGGGGTACGATGAACTTGCGCGCATTTTTATTGGGGAGGGAGCATATGGATACCACAAAGCATGAACGTTTATTCCACGGCAGCTTTTCATCGTGCTTTGATGTGTTGTGTGCTGTTGATGGCGAGTGTGCGAGTTATGCGATGCTCCGTGTGCTATTTGTCAAGCAAGACGGCTGTTTGGCATCATGTCACAAGGGAAGACCATTTCTATGCGCACAGCGAGAGAGACATTTCAGAACGACTCGTATATTCTATTGACACATCCTCCGTTTACATCGGATCTAGCAGAGTATTATGGGTATACGCTTATCCTCCGCATGCGACTCGGGTGCCGTCAATGTCAAGAGTAACCTATTTCGCGGTGTCGTACTTTTGCGCGTGGACGCCGATGGCACTAGACGTTGTTAGCATTGTCATAAACACAATAATCTCTGGATCGACTTACCGTCCAGAAGGATCCGTCTGGTTGCTCCACGTTGGCGTCCATCGCATGACGGTGCTTGCACAGTAGCTAGGGAAGTGCTCGTCGAACATAGTTCTGTACCAGTACGCCTCCTTGGAGTCGGGAATATCGCTGCCCCATTCGGGCTTGGGGTTCTTCATCATCTCGTCCGTGACATGCAGCTCAGCGTTGTCCTTGAGCGCATCAATCCACCCGTACCCAACACCATCAGAGAACTGCTCCTTCTGTCTCCAGAGGATGTGGTCGGGCAGGTATGGCTGCGTCTCGGGCTCGTCGGTGGTGTCGAAGGCTTTTCGCAAAATGTACTTCTCGATGCGCTCCTTGGTGTGCAGCTTCTCGGCAGGGTCGATGTTCATGGAGACGTTGAGGAAGTTCTTGTCGAGGAAGGGCACGCGTGCCTCGACTCCCCATGCGGAGGTCGATTTGTTGGCGCGCAGGCAATCCGCGAGATGCAAGTTCTTGACTCGGCGGATACATTCCTGGTGGAAGGCAGCCTTGTCAGGCGCGTTGTGGAAGTACAAGTATCCGCCAAAGATTTCGTCGCTGCCCTCTCCTGAAAGCACCATCTTGACACCCATGGCCTTGATCTTTCGTGCTAACAAGAACATAGGTGTGGAGGCACGGATTGTGGTGACATCGAACGACTCGAGGTGGAAGATGACATCTGTGAGTGCGTTGAGACCATCTTCAATCGTAAAGGTGAAGGTGTGGTGCTTGGTTCCGAGAAAATCGGCCACCTCACGCGCAGCAATGGCGTCTGGGGCGTTGGGAAGACCGATGGAGAAAGAGTTGAGCTGACCAAGCAGCAAATCCGTCTGGAGCTCGTTCTGGTCATCAATACCCACGAGCTCGTTCTCCTGGTTGGATACCGCACCCTTGGTCTCGGCAGCCCGTTTCCTTGTCGCCTCGTTCAGCCGTTGGGTTTCCCTTTGCGCGATTGAAGCTACCAGACTCGAGTCAAGTCCACCAGAGAGCAGTACACCAAAGGGCACTTCTGCCATCATGCGCTTTCGCACTGATTGCTCAAATGATGTCCTCAGCTCCTTGTAGTCGACGGGTGTGGTGGGAATGTTTTCAGGCTCGACGAGCCACTTGGGGTCGTAGTATCGCTTCAGCTCGTCGGTTTTTGAGTCGTAAACATGACCTGGAGGGAAGGAAATGATGTTGTCGCAAACGGGATGCAGGCATTTGAGCTCCGATGCAAAGAAGACAGCACCAGGTGTTGTGCTTGACCTGCCCATGTAGAATGTGGTGATTCCAATAGGGTCTCTTGCGGCAATAATGCGATCTTGCTTCTTGTCATGGAGAACCCATGAGAACATACCGTCGAGTTTCCGTGGCGCGTCGATGTCATGTTCAAGATACTGCTTGGGTCAGTTTTGCGCCAGCTTCGTTTTACGGCTCATTCATACCAAAGGAATGATAACCTCGCAATCTGAGTGTGTCTTGAAGTTGTATGGTGTTTTCAGGCCCTTACGCAGGACTCTGTGGTTGTAGATTTCGCCATTGACGGCGAGCGAGACGGTCTCGTCCTCGTTGACAAGCGGCTGAGCGCCAGAGTCTGCTAGGCGTAAGTTTTCGCTCCGGTTCTGGTTTGTCGTGTGACCACATACCAACACCGACGATACTCAAACGCTCGTGGACAAGGACTGCCTGTTGTTAGAACTCTATTACCACGTCAAGGTACCTCTGAGTACTTACTGGTGTCGTTTGCGACCCAGTTACCACCTGAAGTTTCTCAGTTAGATCATTCCTGGCGCATACGTTTCGAAAGCTGGCCTACTCCAATCCGGGCCCCGATGTCGGACACTGTTCGCAATTAGTCAATTGAGCGAGACGATACGAGAAAGGAGCTGAACTTACGCCTTGCCCATTTTCAGGGCAGTCGGCTTGAACTTCTGCACATCGGGGTGCCTTTGTGCTTGTCAGCCACATGTCAACAATATCGCGGAGGGGCATAGGAGGGGCAATTGCAAAGTCTGGGGCGCGTCGCATACCTATAGCACGCGAAGATACCACACATGATGACAAGCTATCAGGCGGGAGGGAGTATGAAGGTTGAGACGAGATGGCGAGGAAAGGTGGGCGGCTACTAAGGTGACTTTAATCTGGCTCCCAAGAAATTGTTCGAGTCACAAACAGTGCTCCCCGAAAGCGGAATTGCCCCACTACTTCAAGCAACCCGCGAACCAGAGCCGCATTTGCCCGCCGCTCCTGATAACGGCCATTGTCATGCTGAGATGCAGGGTATGCCAGTATGACGCATGGTCGAGAATCCGTGGAGCTGACCCAAGGGCCTGGCACGCGTTGAGTCGCGCCGTGCATGGCATCTTTCCCAATTGCATCTCGCTTATGAATGCGCTCGCGACCATTGCTTCGACCATGCTATGGTGAGACTGAGCAAACACCGTGTGCACTGCATTATCGGTCTGTCTGTTAGTGATCAGTGAGGGTATCCTTTTGCACATGGAGCAGAAAAAGCTACATTGACAGAGTGAACGCGCCCCAATGGTTCGCCCACAATATACTATACTAATTACGAGCACCAACGCTGCAACACTAAAGTGCGGACACTGCGATGCGCAGGCCGGCCAGCAAGATCCACATCCACTGTGGAGGATGCGCGCAACGTTATTGCAAGTGTGGAGTGAGTTCGTTTGTTTCAAACAGATGACACATACATTGGACGGGCTCCGCAAGATAAAGTCATAGGCATGACATACGGAATTCATGATTGTTGATACATGGACCTTTGCGCGCACAATTCACGCTGCTAGTAATCCTGGCCATGACAACCCTACTCTCCCCAATAACTTAATTACACCCTGAAAAGAAAGCAACAGTCGCTCGCCGTCCCTCGCTGTTTCTGCATGGTCTTGGCCTCCCAAATCTCTAAATCCTAAACTCGTTCATCGTCCGCCCAAGGTCGCCCTTCGCGTGTAGTGATTACTTTTGCTTTGCTCTACGAAGCAACGCCCAGGAGACGCTCAGAACAAGAAGTAGGCGAGGAGGAAGCTGACCAAACAGAGCAAGGCAGTGATCTGGACAGAGACACCACCTGCAGGGGCAGTCTGGGTGTGAGGAGCAGTTGAGAGCTGGGACTTGGAACCGGATGTGGTATCGGTCTTTCGTTGGCGCAGGCCAGAGGCTTCGGAAGCTTGTTGTGTGAGCCTGGCAATAGTAGCCTTGGCCTCTGCGAGCTGGGCGCTCAGGTCTTCTTGAGATACAGGAATGGCGTTGGACACTCGAGTAGCGGCCGCAGACATGGTCGCACCCACGCCACCTGAGGATGCAGGGCTAAATGCCTCGTCCTTGATCTCTCCAAGATGCTTGCTACCCGCTGGTCGCTCATCTGGGCGGGAGACGGGTCCGGTGGCGTCGGGTACGCCGCGCTGAGGAGTCACGGCTTCGGGAGTAGCAGCAGAGACGAGCGACTCGCGGCTGACACCGTTGGTCTTAGCAGGGGTGGTGGTGGACGCATCGTCGGCTGGCAGGAAGAGGACTCTAATCTTCTTCTCTTGGATCGACGACTTGTTGGTCTGCTCGATGTGTGACCACTATTTTCATTGTTAGCAACAAAGGGCACACTGTCTTGCACTTGACATACCAGGGATCCGACGTTGGTGAACTCCTTGTCGGCGGTGACCAAGACGGATTGTACGAGGAACTTGTCGCGGCACTTCGCATCTGGCGGTGGGTCCTCTTTCATAGCCTGGAGAAGAACTACGCGCACGTGTTAGTGTGCCATGCCGACGATAACGCGCCACACACGGGGGCCGTACTCTGAACTTCGACCTCTTTGCCGGGCTCGATGCGCCCACTGTTCGGCCTAACACAGTATCTGCAAGGTTGTTGTTAGCTGGCTGACACGGAGCCGAGGTTGCAGGCCGTGGGTCGTGGGATGCATACTGCTTGGGAGCGGTCTAGATAGAGATAGATGCAGTCAGCATGTGTCGCATCTCCAGCTCGTTCTACGGCGTTACGTACCGTCTTGACTTTGAAAGCGACTGGGTCGGAGTGCGGGTTCTTGAGGTGCAGCGTCTTGGAGACTTCCTGCTGGAAGGGGCCTATTCACTTCAGTCCCGCTGTGCCATCCTTCGACCCATTGCGCATCTTACGCTTGAAGCCCAGCTCTACGGGGTCGAGCTCGACAGACATTGTGGGCGCGCGAGCAGTCTATAGGTGTTGCGGGTGGTGCGTTGGTAATCAGGTGTTCAGGCGGCGGGTCGCAGGGGTAGCGCGTGCCGGATGGATAGGCAGGTGTTGAGTGCGGTCGCAGGTGTGAAGGTACCAAGAGCGCGAACCAGAAGCGACGTTTGGGAGTCGTGGTATACGGCAGGTCAAGTGTTAGGATGCTGGGGGAGAGCTCGCTTGGAACTCTGGATGACGTTGCAGACAAGTGACGGCGACGTTAACCTCCGGCACCTAACGTGCTAACCAACTTTACGATGCAGGCCTTCAACACACGCAACAGCGAGCGTGCGTACGTGTGGATTGAAGTCTGCTATAGGTGAAGAGCACTGTGATAGCATAACACTGAATACACTCATTCCAATCTGTGTCTGGACTCGCTCAGCACCCAACGTGAACGCCGCACTAGGCAGTGATCTCATCCATGGTTCCTCCACCTTCTCCCCTCTTCGCGTCTTCCCAACTACATAATCCCCACTCGCCTGATCGCTCCTTCTCCCCGCATCCAAGAGCCTTCATCCCTCCACCCTTGATCACTGCGCTTCCACGTCACCCCCGTCCATCTCCACGTCAACAGTAGGGAAACCCACGCGACCGACCCACTAGAGCTCCAAAGCTTCGACCGTCTCCACGAACCACACACACGTCGCCACCACACAAAATGGCTTCAGATCTTGAGCAGCTCATAGAAATGGGCTTTCCCCAAGAGCGCGCCGAGCTCGCAGTCAAGGCCACTGGTGGCCTGCAAGGCGCCATGGACTGGATCGAGAAGAATCAGGATAAGACCGTGGACGAGATCAAGGCCGAGCAAGCCGACGCCGCCGAAGAGCCTCCCGCACTCAAGCCCGGTGAAGTAGCACAGTCACTCGTCTGCGATGACTGTGGCAAGAAGTTCCGCTCCGCCCCACAGGCCGAGTTCCATGCCGACAAGTCTGGCCACCAGAACTTCAGCGAGTCGACCGAAGAGCTCGCCCCGCTCACCGAAGAGGAGAAGAAGCAGAAGCTCGAGCAGGCAAAGGCCAAGCTCGCGGCCAAGCGTGCGGCACAGGCAGAGGCGGACAAGGAAGATAAGAAGCGAAACGAGCAGATCCGCATGAAGGCTACCAAGGAGTCGCAGGACATCAAGGAGGCACTGCAGGCAAAGGAGCGCATAAAGGAGGCACAGGCAAAGCGCGCTGAGAAGAAGGCAGACGACGACGCCCGGAAGCGTGTCCTCGCCAAACTCGAGGCCGATAAGCAGGAGCGCAAGCGGAAAGCTGAGATCGAAAAAGCACAGCGCGCGGGTCAGGCTCCTCCACCGGCTCCTGCACAGGCACCCATGCCAACGTCCTCGGGCCCAACTACAAGCAAGCCGGCCAGCGCGTATACAGAGGCGAGACTGGCGCTGCAGACGAGCAATGGTCGCGTCACCAAGACCTTCCCGGTTGAGACAACGCTGTTTGAGGTGGCACACGCGCTCGAGCAGGATGGTCTCGAGGTCAACTCCTTCTCGACTACGTTCCCCAAGAAGACGTTCGACAAGACTGATTTTGGCATGACGCTGAAGGAGGCTGGCTTTGTCCCGAGCGCTGCTTTGGTCCTCAAGTAGAGGTGGGGAATTATCTGGGACTTCATATATGGCGACGTGTTACGAATCACGGTTACGAAAATTGCATGAAAGGGCGTTGAGGGGGCGAGATGATAGTCGAATAGTAGAACATGTCCAAAACAGTTGAAATTCAAGCTGATGGCTTGAAAGTAGACATGATTATGCGAGGCAAAACAATTTCAAGATCAGATTTCGAGTCTCATGTAACGCCATACAATGCTACCGTGATGCAATACCCCCTTGCGCCTCGACACCCAGCTCCCTCACTCATATTCATCAATATCATACCCTTGCTCCCTCTGCGTGCTACAAAACTCCTCACTCGCCAAGTTCCTCTCCTTCCTCTTCACCACGCCCACAGCATCCTTACACCAATCGCACGCGTAGTCACACGGCGGATTCTCATCGTCCGCAAAGTACCTAGCAATCAACTTATGCCTGCACACATTGGTCGCCTCGCAATACTTGACCAGCGCGACAAGACTGTTCTGCCGATGTTGGAGCTGCACCTGCATCGTACCCCCCTTCGGCTGCCGCGCATGATCCCTCGCCATCATCTGGCCCGCGCGATCGCGGTCTTCGCGCCCGTAGTATAGCATACAAACACTAGCCTTTCCATCGCGGCCCGCGCGCCCGGCTTCTTGGTAGAATCCTTCGAAGCTCTTGGGCAGCTGCCAGTGCGCGACGAAGCGCACGTTTTCCTTGTCGATGCCCATGCCAAACGCCGTCGTTGCGACCACCACGTCGTAGCCGGCTTTGTTCGCGACCCAGCCTTCGAGGGCGTCGGCGCGCTCGGCGTGCGGGAGCCCGGCGTGGTAGGGCTTTGCGCCGATGCCGTCGGAGCGCAGGCGGGCGGCGAGGGATTCGCAGTCTTTGCGGAAGAGCGTGTATATGATGCCTGGGACGTTGTCTGCGCGTTGGTTTTGGGTGGCGAGGCGCTCCGGGTTGGCGGCGCGTCGAGCGTGGGCGGCTTTGAGCCAGCGGAGGAAGTCGGGGTATTGGTCTTCTTGGTCGTTCTTGAAGCGGATTTCGTAGTGCAGGTTGGGGCGGCTTGTGGTCATGCGGAACATCTTGAGCTTGGTGGTATCCAGGGCGAGGGTCTTGATGATGTCGTCTCGCACACGGGCAGTGGCCGTGGCGGTTAGACATATGATAGGAACATCTGGAAACTCTTCCTTGAAGAAGGACAGTTGCTGAAAGGATGGTCTGAAGTCATGACCCCATTCGCTGACACAATGGGCTTCGTCGACTGCAATGCGTGCAAGCTCTTTTTGAGAGTGAATGACCCTGAGGATCCTGCGAAATTGGTCACCTTGACAGAATTCCGGGGTAACATATAGCAGCCTGGTCAACGGGTGACCACATTGGAGGTCCTCGAGAATTCTTCTTCTTTCAGGTGGTGGTGTGGTGCTGTTGATTGTCTCTACGCGAATGTTTGCATTGCGTAGAGCAGCGACTTGGTTGTTCTGTCTATAATTAGCTACAGTTCGCAATGTGCTGATCATTTCATACCATGAGGGCCAACAGTGGAGAAATGACAATGGTCACTTTCTGGGTCAGCGAAGAGCACAAGGAGGATTCGTCAACGCACTGCCAAAATCTACAACAGCCGGTAACTGGTAGCATAAGCTCTTGCCAAACGACGTCGCAGCCTGCAAGAAGACATCTTCGCCTTCGAGCGTGGCTGTGATGACTTCACGTTGTAGAGGTCTGGGATGTTGTATTAGTCGAGTGATTCATATGGACGCAGTTGAACACACCTGAATCCGGGCTTCTTGAACACCCGCTTCAATGTGAAGTCAATATTAGAGTATGGTCGCTTTCGTTTGCCAGGCATGGTTGCAGGTCGCGTCGGGCGGAAGAAAACGTACCCCCTGCTTGTTACCTTGCAACGTGGGACAACGGAAGTAGCTTGAATTTTATGCAAGGCCTCATCGTGAAATTCAGACAAGGTTGCGTTGTGCCTGTTGATTTCGGGATGTCATGCAGGAGCAGACGCGTTGAGATCCGCAGGTCGCGATCGATGCGTGATCACGTGCATTGTCGTGCCCTGTAATTTTCGCTTTCGCGCTCATGCACATCACGACACCACAATCGGTTCAAGTCACTCATCTGCAAGACACTTTTGAGACGGAGACGTGCTGGTATGGCAGAAAGAGGCTAGGCAAGGCGGTCTTTGTCCCATCGGCACGTTGAGGTACCACGAGGTCCCTAGATAGCCACCACACACGAGAGCGCACACGAGGCTCGAGAATGACGGATGCAGCCGCTGCTGGTTTACTACCCCCTGGGATAGCCCTAAAGGACTTCGCCGCTCTACCAGCAAAGGATCGCCCACTCTTTGCAGGCAGGATTGCGAAACTCGAACGAAAGGTATTTTCCAAAGATGAAGGCTTCGACTACGATGTCGAGTTGAAGAAGAAGAATGTTGGCGTGCTCCTGGCACTGAAGGGCGACTTAGACCAGGTCGTGGCGTACCTTGTGTATCAGCGAATGAAGAGAGTAGTCTGGCTACACAAGCTCTGTGTAGTTGAGCAAGAAAGAAAAAAGGGCATCGGCAGATGTCTCGTCCACGCCCTGCGCCATCAAATGGAAAAGGGAGGCAGCGAAAGCATTCAGCTATGGGTCGACGAGCACAACGGGCCTGCTAGAGCGCTGTACGAAACATGCAAATTCAGCCAAGTCGAGATCCGTCCTGCATACTATGCTCCAGGGAGGGCTGGGTTGAAAATGGAGTTACCCATCGCAAGATGAGCAAATTCTGGAGTTGTTACTAGACGTTCTGGCAAGACCTCGTTGTGGTGGAAGAGGGGGCAGGAAAACGCATCCCTTGCTCGTGCAGCCCCTCTTCACCACCCTGCCTGACCTCCTTCGAAAACACCTCGTATGATCCAGGATGTCTTAAAGCGTGGCTGAAACAAGAAGCACAAGAATAATCAAGGCAATCCCAGTTGTGCGCGGAGAGCGGTTCGGCATCACCATGAGCGACCATGATGGTGTTATCACAATACTATGGTTTGTTAATCGGAGGTGTGAAGTGGTTAACACATTCCTCGCTCAGTTGAGAGGCCAACGTAAGGCATCGACACGAGCACGCGTCCGCGGCGCGATCATGAATTCCTGAGACCCAGGAAGCCAGGAAGAGGGGGCTGAAAGTGACGAAAGATCTTCAGCATGTTCGCTCCGTCTTTGCGTCCGAGACTTTCTTGTTATGGTCCATCGTCAACCTCGGCGAATCTAAAATCTAGTCATTTGACAGTTGGCATAGAAGTGTTAGGAGGGTGTAGAGAAATCTCCACGGCAGAGCGCCGTCATTGTGAGTACAACGTAGCCATCATCACAGAATTTTGTTGATTTAGTGGCAGCGCAATGACGAGATCGCTGTTCGCATTATGGCTTCTACCTGCCTCCATTGCGGCATATCTCCAAGTCAGCTATCCATTCAACTTGCAACTCCCGCCAGTTGCGCTTGTTGGTGAATCATATGAATATCAAATCGCGCCAACGACATTTGCGACCGACTCAGACAACCTGCAATACTCTTTGGTCGGAAATCCGACTTGGCTGTCACTAGACAGCAATAGTCGGACACTGTCTGGAACTCCGAGTGCTAGCGATGTTGGGGAGATCAACTTCAAGATAAATGCGGCTGGATCGAATGGCGCATTTGTCGATATGGACTCAAAGCTCATGGTCGCAAAAGAAAATGGCCCAGATGTCAAGGGCAATGTCACGCAAGTGCTTGCGACCTCGGGACTACTCTCCGGACCGAAAACTATCAACATTGGACCTTCAAAGCCCATCGACATCACATTTCCTTGGAATACCTTTGCGTCTAATGGATGGTCACCGTCGTACTATGCGCTCCTTTCCGATCATACGCCATTGCCTGCATGGATCAGCTTCGATGGATCATCGCTCCATTTCACTGGGACCACCCCCTCTATTACCTCCACACAGAGTTTTGACATACTCTTGATCGCTTCTCAATCCCCAGGCTATGCTGGCTCTTCGCTGTCCTTCACTCTTGTAATCAGCAATCACCAGTTCTTATTCCAACCCTACGCCCAAACTCTCAATTTGGAAAAGAGACAAAATGTCTACATTGATCTGAAAAGCACGCTGCTCCTCGATGGTGTAGCAGTGCTGGAGCCGCAGATTCAGTCTGTCGATGCCACATTGCCTTCATGGCTGAAGCTTGACAAGAAAACTTCAATAATCAGCGGCGATGCACCATCCGGGACCATGTCGCAAGACATCTCCGTCAATGCAACGGACCAGTTCGGCGACGTGGCGCAATTGAACCTCCATATACTCTTCAAATCCGACCTCTTTGCGTCAGAGATTGGCCATAGTGAATGCAACGATCGGAGAGAAATTCGAGTACGCCATACCACAAGGCGTACTTTCAAGCAACAATGAGAAACTGTCTGTCGATCTTGCTTCCCTGTCCCGCTATCTGCAATTCGATCCGTCAAAGGCCACCATCTACGGCACGATCACGCAGGACTTCCCTGCACAAAAAGTACAATGCATATTGACCGCAGTTTCAAGTGACGACTCCCAAAAGGATACGCAAACGTTTCAGATTGTTGCCTCGAACTCAACAGAAAGCGGTACCGTCGAGCGTACCAGCGGGTACTGCGAGCAACGCTGACCCACACCATGAGGACAACGCCGGACAAATAGCTGGTATCATCATCGGCTCAATCATTGGAGCCATATGCGGCATACTTTTGCTATTCGGACTTGTAATCTGTCTGCGTCGCAGGAAACAGCGCAAATCTTACGCAAGCCCGAAGCTACCTAGAAGTCCGAAGAAATCTGACATATCGCGTCCGATGTTCATTCCACTTGGGTACCCGCACGTTGACGTGGATCATGACCAAGAAGACCTCGAGAACGGTAAAGGAGAACATGACTACTTGATGCATCGTGCCTCGGAAAAACCACCAATGCTGGATCTGGATCTGCAAGCTGATGACAGAGATGACGAGTCTCTTACAGACTCGATCGGTGATGCAGATACTCGTATCCTGGATACTTTTGAGGAGTCATCCTGGGGTTTTCAGAACGACACTGCTCCATCACAGCATCCTTGCGATTCCATGAGAATTCCTACCGAACAGCTGGCAGAATCGTTGAGGTCAAGCACATTTCGAAAACATCGAAGACGGGCAACTACAGTGTACCATGATCAGATCCATCGCAGTTCAGGCTTGCCGGTAAATCGACGCATCACAGGAATGGGACATGGTCGACAGACCTACTCACCGTCCAGGAGCAACACAAACTTTTCGCGATCTTCACTGCGTCGACCTCCTAGCACAAGCTCGTATACCACTACAAGGTGTACAAGTACCTTCTCTACAGCGCCCTCCACGGCCCCGCAGCGACCCGTCGCACGACAGCAGCCACGAGTTACCACGCCTGTAGAGAACAGACGTAGTATTCGCGTCGTGCCTGCTTCCACTCGTAGTAGTCTAGTCGACCGACCAATGGACGTGAAGCGCGACTCATACATCCGAAACCGCGCTTCAAACAAATCGCCATTCTTCAGTGCTGCCGGTAGCCGCGCGTCGTCTTCAACGTACAAAGGGGCCCCTGCCTTCATGTCTGACGCTCCAGCAAGGAGGAACACAATTGTAAGGCCAGATGATGATGTAGTCGAGGGTAGGGGCAAAGAGATGCCGAGTAGCTCGAAGGCCCGGAAGCCATCAAAGGAGCGTATCGAAGCACGCAGGAGCGTCAGCAAGCCGTCTGTCAGCCCTGTGTCGGAGACATCACCAAAAGAGTTTCCTGGTAGCTTGCGTCAAAATCGGGTGACTCGTCCATACACATCCGCAGGCATTCATCGAGACCGTGTCGAGAAGAGCTATGCCAGACCAGACACGACCATCGCATATAGTTCAAGCGAAATGCCCCGACGCGCAAGCACGCGCGACAGCCTTCGCGCATATTCTCTGAAATCACGGCTCAATGATCTGACTGGCAGTGAGATCTTCAAGGATGCTGATCTGAGTGACAGCGTGTACACTGACGAGGAAGATGAGATTGAAGAGGCTGAGAAGCGGGTGATGGTGAAGCCAGGAGACTTTGTATTGCCGCCGTTGCAGATTGATACTAGGCGGAGGAGCAAACGTAACAGTGCTGAGAAGAAGGCGGAGAAGCAGAAGAGGACGAGTAAGGGTGAGACGAAGAGAGATTTGAAGCGTCACGAGTGAACGTAAGTGAACCTCTTCTATGCAATTTCTGTCAACTTACCACGCCCATCGAACTCTTGCTGACAAGTGCTTAGGCGATCCAACACCATTCTACTCAGCTTATGTTGCAGAGCATGGTGGTAAAGAGAATATGTCGTCTACATATAGTCTCGGTGCAAGATCAACACCAGCACGAGCAGATCCTCAATCCAAAACGAAAGCAACCGCATCCCCAGAACGCCCCAAAACAGCTCGCCAATCCCAAACCGCCACCGACCGCAAATCCAAGCGCATCTCCAAAACCCCCTCCCAACCCGTCTCCAACCCCAAAGAGCGCCACTCCCGCAAATCCCTCCACTCGCGCTCCGCCTCGCTGAAAAAGACGCATTCCCGCGGCCAATCCACCGCCTACCCCTTCTTCGACAGCGTCTCGCGCCCCACCAGCACCACGCGCCCCTCCTCCTCCAAGCTCTCGCTCATGACGCGCGACCTCAGTGGCAACCTGACTTTCTACGGCGCCGAAGACGAAGAGCCGACCGTCGAGGAACTGCGCAGCTCGTCCATTGGCTTCCGCACGTCAAACGGGCGCATCAATTCCAACGCGCGCCGCTCCCGCCTTGCGAGTCTGCACGAGAGCAGTCAGTTTGCGACGCCTTCCCCGCCACCGAAGAGTAGCAAGCGCGCGACGGTGCAGCAGGTTGCGCAGACACAGGTGAGGCCCGCGGGACTGGGGCTTTTTCCGGTCGATGTTAGGGCAGAGATGTGTGTGGGAAGGGAGAGAGAGAGGGAGAGGACGCCGTTGGGTGCGTTGGGTGGGGAGAATGTCAGTCGGATGACACCGGAGGGGGAGAGTGGGTTGGATGGGCAGAAGGGGAGACAGCAGGGATGGGGGAGTTTGAAGAGTATGGTGGGGAAGGGGGGGAGGTGGGTTAGTGGTGGGTATTGGGATAAGCAGGGGAGGGAGGATAAGGTTTTTCTGTGAGGTTTGATGGTATAGGACGACGGGGGTGAGAA